TACCATTTGTTGAAATATATCACTAAATGAAACACGACCAGTGCACATTTGGTAATGCATTGGCGTTCCATTGCACTGATTTATGCGACACTGAGGAAAACGCCCAAGGATGACTGCTTTTTATTTATAAGATTCAGAAATTTGCTACTATGGGTTTCTTACGAATCGAATCAAATCCACAAAACATGTTGTATGCAAATTATGTTCAAACAGTTCTTCTCTCGTTTTAATTTTCCTGTTTGTCTCAAGACACGTAACATTTGAGGGTTTATAAAAATAGATATTATTTCATTGATGTTTTCGAATTTTAACGTTACAATTATTTATTGCAGATTTATACGATGCACGTTTTCATACTGTCATATTTAGTGATATTGCCTACTATTGTTATAGAACTGGTAATTCATTATTTATCAAAATAAAATAGGTACCACTTAATGAGTTAATTGACTCAATGACTTAATTGGTTATCACTTAATGAGGCGTCAGCGTTATGTAATATTACTACCACAATATATGTTAAACTTATATTATTTACATTTTACAATATTACTTTAATAAAAGAAAATATGTTTTACTAATTTTTCGCAACTGCTCACGTAAAAGAATGATACAATAATTGGCTTAAATGAGTAATTACTAAAATTGTGCCCAGCAGGAGTCAGGATTTAAAATATTAATTGTAGCTCTTGAACATGACAACAAGAATAGGACTCACTGTATACTCATTAGTCATTACACTTACTGAACTATACAAATAATTTAATTACCAACATTTATTCTGATTTTTCGTAAACAAATACAAGTATCCATTTTTGATCATTTGCTTTTATATGTTCTTGATTGAAATTCAAAACTGAGATTATTTGAATATCGTTTGGTGCAGCCAAAAAACTATATGGAACATATAAACGTCCCCTTACCTTAGTTCTCCTTTAACCTGGGTCTAGTTAAAAGCAAACGACGTTAGCCAAGAACGATTTCAATTTAAAATCACTTTGGCGCAGTTTGCGGAACAGCGAAACTTTCTAACTCGACTAAATATTATTAACTCTATATACTTCTGCTGGTCGGAAGTTTGTTGGTAGTGTATATAGTGTATATTATAGCTTATATATTATAACAAAAAATGATATTTCGCGCACTCACTGCCATTTTCCGTTATTTATTAGTTTATTATTTTTGTAATTAACTTTTTTTTTAATGAGTGAAGTAAAAAAAACGAATCCACGAATCCTCGGTAATGGACTTTTTTTATCCATTACCGAGGGGGCGGATTTGTTTTTACAAAGTTTTTATCTCTTAATATTATCTCTGTGATAATAGCCGTTCTGGATGTTCCACTTCGTCGTCCCAACTATGAAAGAACGCCAGATTATTCACGGTTTTCTGTTGACAAGCGACTTGCTTAAACGGTTGGTCTTAACTCTTTCCAGCGACGGGCGACTCGTAATTTGTTAGCTCATTAGCACTTCTCTTGTGTCGCGAGTGTCTCCCGAAAAGTTTTGCCGAAACGCTAATAAAAAGTAAAGTAAAAGTTTTTTCATTTCCGCTACGCCAACTGGAAAACAGGACAAAATACATAAGAAGGTAAAGAAATTAAATGGTTTCCCGGGATATTAATTGATGGACCGACGGACGATGATAATCGCCTGGACCAATAAGATTAGGTCCTCCTCGAAATGTATTTTATTCAAAACGATAAGTTCGGCAATAAAACCCACAGTTCTATCGAATATTGCATAACGTCGGCCTATTTAGCATAGGACCTATCTCCAAAAATCAATATTCGGTATATTACGCTGTTTGTATTAAAAAAAAAACTGTTCATTTTCCATGAAATGTGTGATAAACAGTAAGCAATTTTTTAGAATATATTAAACGTTTTTTCTTTTTAGTGTAATATTTGGTACTTTGGAGTTACACCCAAATAGGCCGACGATAATAGGTATAGTTAATAGGTCTAGTTTCATCCACACTTAAATTATAGGACATGTTACCTAACCATCATTTTAAATCGGTAAGTCTTGTACAGCTAGTTTTCCTATTTGAATGGGACATTAATCTATTGATTGAATATTTAATTAAACACAAGCTATAGATTAATTTATCTTTAACATAACTCTATAATGTTATTGTTTTTAAAAAAATACTGAATTCATATAAATAATTCAATGATAAATAGTTATTATTATTAATTAAAGAAAAAACAACAGAAAATATCAATACTACAACTTTAAATTTAATACCGAGATAGCTAATTTTAAAATAAATAACCCACTTTATTGAGTGGTATTTTTATTAAACTTAAAAAAATTACTCGTTGTTATTGGTGATTCAAACATCGGTTTTAAAATGTACCTATTGGTTGATCGCTAATCACCGTTTAGCTTTCGATAACTAAACTCTATAAAACAAGCGATTGACAACATTTCAAAGCCAAAATTTACACTACTTGTTGTAATTACAACAGATTTTGATTAAAATTATTTCACCAGAGGTAGGTTTGAATAAATGTTGGTGTCGATTGGGTAATTTTTTTGATTTTGACATGATTTTTTTCACCGATTACTCTAGGACAAGCTTGTGCAGAGCTACGAACATGAACGGTTTAGAATTTAAACGTTTAAGAGCTAAATTATTATTAGTACAATAGATAAAAACAAGCAAAATCTATTCACTGACTTAAGATTTAAACTTTTTTTTAATCGGCACACTCAACGTCATCTTTCAATTATTATTGTATTTTTTAAATAATCTAAGGCTGTAAGTTTGATAACTCCTCAACTGATGTCGATGTTATCAATTTAATTTATTTATTACTTCAAGGGGCACCAAAGCGTTTATCGAGACTGCTTTGGATTAAGTTATTTTCTGCTCAAAACTTTCCAAACTGTTTACATAGATTAAACCACCTTCCCACTCCTCCATACCTAATGCAATCTTAAATCTAAAAAAATAATCATATCGTCAATGGGGTACTACACTTTTAATGATAATAATAATTGACAAATTTATTTATAGATGTTTTGAAACAATAATTTACCTCTCTGAAAAACAAATCGAAACTGTAGGAAGCACCCCAGCTTATATTGGAGGTATTGAGATATCGTTTAGAAGATATATCAAATGAATTCAGAACGTGATTGCACTTGATTTGAAAACATTCGCTGTATGTTCAACGGGCACCGAATAGAAATGTTAAACTTTTCCGGAACCAAAAGTGTCCATAAAAATATTATATTACAGAAGAGTCGGACTTAAATAAAATTAAGATTATAGTTTGAGTTTTATGACAGATGGTATAAGTTTGATCGGAATTGCTCAGTTTATTACTGTAGAATTAGAGAGAAGATGAGCGTACACATCAACAATGTCTTTAAGAACATAATATGAGATCGGTTGTAAAATTAAGCATTAGAAATACAATACTCCTTATGATTTATCTGTGATGCCACTAAAATTTCTGCAAAATCACAACAACAAAAAATGTATATAGACAAAGTCAAGAGTTTTTATTTAAAATTGTTATTAATAAATTTTACTTAGGTACACATCTTTATATTGTAATAGTATTTAATTTTTATACGAATTTCAAGTGGCTTAATAGCGTTTTTTGGAAAAATCCGGATTTTCGGATTCCCATCACTAGTATACACACTATCCCGGCTGATTATTCGATTTTTTTTTCTTTTATATCAAAACCACGGAAAAAGTAGTTTTTATATTAAATTTCCTCCTAACAATCCAAATAGGAAAAGACTGCACAATCGCTAAAGTAACGTTTTTTAAATTTAATTATGAGACTTGTAAGTTAAAATTAAAATTAGACCTTTTGGACCCTATAGAAAAGACCATACGCTCTCCGACAATACAAATTAGTTTCGTTACTTAACCTAATAAATTATTCAAAAAGCGTCAACGTACTTAAGTGTGTAGTTCTCTAAAAAAAAAGTCTGGCTTTTTCATTGCCCTTGCGGTTATGATTTTGCGTAAACTGCTGTCTTATTGTAACGTATCTACAGGCACACTGCAGCTCTGTACATTGTTAAAATTATTTGATATAGCTATACATTGTAAAACATACATTGTAACAAACGACGTGATACTTTAGTAATTTTATGCCAGCTATTGTGCCGTAGAATTTAAAATAACAACGTTTGGAACGAACACGGTACTCGGGTGTGCTTAATTAATAATTACATACCCTAAAGAACGGTATACCTCGGTAATTACTAATGGTTGTTTATACTCACTCGCGAGCTCATCAGTATTATCAATATTATTACAATGCCCATCCCTATGCACAATTGTATAAACTCTATAAAACAGTAAAAACGAATGAAAAAGAAAAGTTCTCTCGAATAGCAGTTCATTAGCCTCACAAAATATAGTTTAACATGTAACAGCATCATTCTCTAAGTGTTTCAGTACTTGCTTTGCTCAGTGGGCGCAAATTTATAACAAGCAGACAAAATATCTTACTATGCTGTTTATGTGGAACACTTGTCTAATTTGCTTACAAACTGTCAATCAGATATCATATTTATTATATTTTAAGAAAATCGCACGTTACAATATGTACCATATTAGTTATATTATTAATGCTATGTAATTTACAATTTGTAAATAATTCTTAAACTGATTGTTCGAGTAGTCAAAATTGGTATATAATAAATAATAAGTAACTCTTAATATTTATAATTACTACGACTGCGATGGATTAGACAAAAACATATCTTCGAAAAACCGAAAACCTTTTAAATACTTGTTTTTCTGTACCTACCAAAAAGCTTTCTTGAACTATTATGTAGGTAGTGGAAATCGGACACATTTATAAAGAACTTTTAATTTTAAATCAACCCACATAACTGTTTAAGTGGTTAATTTTACTTACAAAGTATGGTACACATGATTCACCTACACCCGATACACAGATAAAATAATAATGTATAATGTCATCATTTAACGAAAGAATTAAAAATTATATATTCATCAGATTATTCAGTATTAGGTATGTCACCAAACAATAATTCATATATTTATGTGAAAAATACATTGATTTGTTTTTAAAGTATAAAAATATAAAACTAGAAATTTCAAAATATATTGTTATTGCTTTCACTTGATATGTTATTGAACATACGATGAAATCATAGATTAATCTTTTGGTGTAAATGTGTCACCTGTCGGTCTAATTGTAATTTCGCATACCTAAAAAAAAATTGGAGAATTATTATGGTACCTATTGGTTATCAACAAATATGATAATAGTTACAATAATTTATAATGTATATAACTCTCGTAGGACGGGGAAATTATACCTAAGCAACGTGAGTAAGTACTAATATTATAACATAATCTTTTTTGTAATCTAAAAATATTTTAAACTTAAAATTTAAAATATAGTATGCCAAAACAAATTTTACTAAACCAAAATTGCTATTCTGAGAACAAAAAATGTCTGGATTTTTTCCATAAAAAATGGACTCATAGTACAAAAAGATCCGAGGATCATTATTCAACACCAATAGAAAAAGATGGAGAAAGTTTGGGAATCTCATCGGAGAAACCGTTAAAAAACCATTAAACACTAATATTATAATCACAGATAGGTATGATGAAATATTGGAGGATATATTTAATATTTATGTGTTATTCTCTGCATCCTTCACTTACATTTGCGCGTTGTGGGGCACTCAGAGCATAAAGTATAGCATCAGCAATATCTTCGGGTTGTAACACTTCTATGCCTCCAGTAGGCCTTGTTAAATCTATTGTCATTTCAGTTTCTACGATTCCCGGACTGATACTCTGCAAACATAAATACTTATAAATTATAATACATAAGGTTCAAAAAACTTAAGAAAAGTGCAGAGTACAACTTCATCAAACCATTCCACCTCTAAACATAAAATTACTTGATATCTTTAACTACATGAAAAAAAAAAGTCATCGTTTGAAAACTAAAAATATTACCGTTACTCTGATCGGCAACTTATTTATGCTGAGTGTATCTCTTAAGTATTTTGTTAAAGCAGTGACACCGAATTTCGTAGCGCTATACACGGCATAGTCGGCATAATTTCCCGGTAACTGCATTTGTCCTGCAATACTAGCAAACAAATTTATTTTAAAGTGTCTTTTAGCTAAACAATTTTGATTGTAATGATTGAAAATTAATATTTTAGTAATAAAGTGGTTTTATAAAAATGGAGAGAAATTACTTTATACTTGGAGAGCGTAATAAAAAGAAAATACAGTAGAGATAACAATATTGACAGGAAACGTTACAATCGATTTTTTTTTTTAGCGTTTTTACATCTGTTACTTCCACCGATCGAGGCTAAGAGTGTTTAGATTTGACATATTCTTAGATACCTGTTTATATTAATTATGTGGCCTCTCTCGATTTCAAAATGCTGCATTAATTTTACCGCCTCCCTCGAGCAAATGTTTAAGCCGATCAAATTCGTATCAAACATTAGTTTCCAATCAGTAGTACTTCCTAAAAAACATATCAACAATCCGACACTGGGTAAAAAAACATAATACCATTATAAGGTTTTAATAAACGCTTTTACTATATACTTAATTATTACTATATACATATTACTTTGTTTAATGTTGGTCATGCAACACTTTACTTTCGGTGATATTTTATATTCAATCACAGAAGTGCTCCGCACTGTAATTTGACTATCAGCGAGGTACATAAATTTTAGTTAAATAAAAACCTTGCCAATAAAAATAATAAAATTATCTTACTTTACCAGTAAAAATAATAACTTACCATTCAATAAGTCAGCGCTCTTAAGAACACCGCCATTATTAATCAGGACATCCAATGACTTGAACGTACTCTTAATCCATTCGAAAGCTTTTAAAATAGTTTCTTCGTTACATAAATCGACTTTGAAGTAATGAAATTCGCCAGGTTGCCCATTCAATTCGGTACTTAAATCCTATTAAATAGATTTAATTTTAACTGTAATAATGATAATTTGGAAAATATATAACAAATTAATGTTTCTTGTTATTATTTTAAATATTTGTTTACTATGAATTCTTACAGCAATCCCAACTTTTTGGAAAAAGTCAAATTTTCTCGGCTTTTTAAAAAAGTATTTTCAAAATGTTTAAAATTGATACTTTGGCAAAAAAATACCTTTTTTTTTTTTTTAATTTAATTTGCACCAGTTTACAGAGGTCCAATAATTTCAATTTATTTTTTCAGGAAAAACTGAGCTTTTTAACATAAAAACATGCATAACATAATTTTTTCAATGACGTGTAATAACGCAAAATATTTATGGACATGTATATGTAAAAAGTGATCTATGGAATAACAGCTAAAATAATCAAATTTTTACTTTGGTAGAGCTCAAATGAAAATGTGCCTTCAAATGTCTACTTATTTGAAAGGGATTCGCATAGTTTCAAATACTTTTTTTATCAAGCCAAAAGTCATGTTATAGATAATAAAAACCACAACAAGTTCAAATTGGACAAGACCCAAAATAACGAACACGTCCAACATCATAGTTTTATGTATAATGATGTAAGTAAACAAACTGACATGGCATTTACCTTGAGTAGATTTTCTCTTCTAGCTAACCCAACAACAATCATACCACTGGCCACTAGTTTCTTACAAGTCTCGGCCCCTATTCCCGACGATGCTCCTGTTACTACAGCCACTTTACCGACCCACTTGTCCATAATTAGTTCTGTTGAATGGTAAGTACACGAGTAGAAAAATCGCGTTGTATCAGAGTTCCTCGATGGCCCAACACCAACTGAGAATGGAACGAGTGCGTCAGAGAGGCTATAGCGCCGGTATCAGGTTTAGATATATATTTATAAAGTGTGCGTGTGCGTGCATGTGAATATTATCATACCCAACAGTTTTATTACTTAAAAAAAAAAATCAAGGGCATCTCATTGCAACCGTTTGTCTACTACATAGTCTGGTGAACGTGGAACGGAAACTGTTTGATGTTTTAGCAGAAGAATTTAGTTAATATTTAGTTCATTAAAACTTAAAATGCATTATTAAATTATGGTCGATTAATGTGAATATTTGACAATAAAAAATGTTTTTTTTCTTGTAGCTGAATTTCACTTTTATTACTATTACTAGTATTTATTTTAAAGCATAATTTTATAATCAGTCTATCGAATTCAACTGTATACTAGCTTTTCTATATAAAAAAAATGTATTTAAGTTATTCGGAATATTATAAAGTGTACATCGTGACAAGAAAATAAATTAAAAATTTATCGCATAGAGATTTTATGCGAATTTGTAGAGAAACGAACGCCAGAAATTTGAACCCAGTTTAAAACCTTTACGGGCCAAAGTTATGGCCTTGGGCGAGGTATTAGTCAAAATAGGTTTAAAAGCGGGGCGTATTTGTAGAATATTAAGCAGAGAGAATTTGAACTATGTATATATATATATATACATAACAGGGTAAACAGTGGTATACCAAAAGGTATTTAGATAATATCCCCAATCCCCATCCATTATTAAAATGTATTACACGTATGGAAAATAATACAATTTTATTTATTTTTTTTTTTTTCAAAAATGGTGCTAAAGCAAAGTACAGTAAAATAACAGGATTAAAATATCGTGTGTATCGCACGAAAAAAAGAAAATTTTATTTTAATTTAAGCAAATAAAATTATATGCAGTAACAAAAAACAAAAAAATGCTGCCAAATCATTGGCATATAACTCCGGACTTTCTCAATATATTTGTTTTTAAAATTTCAATATTATTTAGATAACCCAAAAATTCTCTTATCGGGGTCTAAAATTATAAGATAAATTCGACTGATAGCAGCAAAACTATTCATAACTTTTACAATTTTAGAGCTAGGAGCCGAAGTGTAATTAAATTAATTAAATTAAAAAATGTTTAAGCAAAATCCATTACGATGAACAAATGCACTTGTATCAAAAATTTATTTCAAAATATAATTAGTTATATTATCATCTACCGCCACTCTAATGCTCAGTTTTATTGCTAACCACTTTCCTAAAACTTTTGTTATCGCAATGGCGCCGAACTTAGTTACCATGTAAACAGTTGACAAAGGTCGTAAATACTCACTGTTTGCATTAATGACAAGAAAATAAATAGATCTCGAAATATCAGGCTCGATGAAAAATGATCAAGTATAATAATTTAACACATTATGATAATACATGTAAATGTATAAACTGATAAGTTTAGATAGAATTTCGAATTGGATATAAGAATTAGAGTTTGTAAGAAATACATTGCGATGGTAATGCGACTAACGGACAGATAATTGTGGGAGAGAGAGTGGATTATGGTAACGAACTTCCTCAAAGAAGTTAAAGTTAACAAGTTAAAATTCAAACACTGTCATCAGTGAGCACATATTTTAATTAACTAAAAGTTTGTAAATAAAAGTTCAACTACTTAACACAAACATAATGTTTTCAATTAGGTGTATAATGTTATGGATACGACATTTTCCTACGAAACATCAAAAGCTGGATTGTCCGTATCGTGAGCGCACGGTTTGCAAAAAGACACAGGAAGCATCTTAATTCTGTTTTGAGTTTTAAATAATCACCGCAGTACACGCTACACATTAAAAAATTGTTTTGCATGCAACACTGAACCACTAAACTCGTGTAAACATCAATTATTTACTAAAGGAAACAAAGTCTACTGAATTAAGTCTATACTATATAAATTACTGGCAATTTATCCTATGTAATTATGTTGTCATTTTATTCCGTTAGCGTTTAGAAATTAGCATAATTATATATATCCCCTATATCTTTACTGTAAAAATAACAATTTCTAAAATCATAATTTCTAAAGCTGTTGATGTAAATGTTTTTACGTTATTATAACTACATTGAGATTGACACGTTATATGTTAGTCTTACTTTATTGAAATAATATGTAATTACAACAATTGCTTTTATTAAATCATTAGTGAAATAGACCGACGTAATTGCAAACTAATAGTTTAATGCGTTTAAAAAAAAATTTGCGTTTAAAAAATATACTATAATATTGTACTGTAGATACATTTCTATAAAATTATAGAAGCATTAGAGCACGTAAACCGATAGGTATAATATGTAAATGTTTTTACTTCTTCAAAGAGAACCTAGAAAATGTTGTTTTCTATCTTCGGGTTGATAGTAAGATCATTACTTCCTACATTTTTTACTAGTACGTGTTCCAGTGATCTAAAACAACTGCTTAAACTTTAATGGTACAATCGCTTAATAAGCGTTTGTTCTCGGGTCGTTAATTCATCCATTTAGTTAAATTAAAATGTGAACAATTCGATTTTAAGGAAGTTATGTGCTTATGATTTGACAGAGATTTTTTATATATGAATTAATAATATAGAATGTATATATATATATTAATCAAAACGTATTTTATTAAAAGAACTTTCGTCACTCTCATTATCCTCATTATTTTTGTTCTTCATGTAATTCACTGTCATCACTACAAGTATCATTTAGTGACTCTATATCTTCCCTTAACCACGAAGCAATCAACTCACTCATATTTTACAAAAATATAATCAAAAGCAATAGAAACTCAACTACGACTTGTTGCTTTCGGAATGCAATATCTTTCCTAATCAGAACGATAAATTGCCCGTTTATCGATAAACTTATTTTTAAATAGTTCGTTGTAAGGACTATGAACGTCGGAAAAATATAACCACGAGCAAGCCAGTGATTCTCAACTTAAAAAGTATGTGAGGGAAAATCTCACATGCGAGCAATGACGGGTTAACATTTATGCCGACATAAAGTGTAAGAAAATATATGAAAGTTTATTAATAAAGTTATTGGCAAGTAGTTTTTGATAAAAAATATTAATCGTAAAAGACTGTTAAAAATCGTTTAAAACTATTTTATGTTTTATTCAACCATCTTTTGTCAAGTAATCTGAATGTGTAGTTTTATGCTTATATCCATATGTAAAACTGAATTTGTAGAATGTGCATTGAACAAACCCATTTCTAATATTTTTACCCAGCTGTGGATATCAAATATTAAATGTAATATAAATGTCTACTTCATGATGGCTAAATAACTTATTCAGATAAGGCTAAATTAAACTAGGACACGTTTGTAACCTTGCCCCTTGATTTATATGACTTAAATTAGTACGTTGAAGTCAACTGTTGTTTTGCTAATTTAAAAAAAAACGAAATGAAGGACATCCCAATTATTACTGTCTGCTGTCTACCGCATAGTCTAGTGACACGTGGTACACAAAACAACTGTTTATTAGTTTAGCAGGAAGCAGTGTACATAATATTTATATATAATATAGTGCATTCAAATTTTAAACTCATTATGCGCTCACGCTTCATAGTTTGTAACGTCAATAGATACAATTAAGTATTCAGTACAAAAAGTCTGCACGGTGGGACGGGACATGGAGGTCGGTTTGGTCACAGAATTGTAGGAATTATTATAATTAATAGTGTATTACACTGTTTACGGAATAATGAATGTACAATTAATTAATCAAATATGTTCTATTGTAAATAAATAACAATCATACTTAAAAACAATAAAGTTTGATTTAAAGATTCATTTTAACCGGTTAATGTCGTATTGGCACATACTTGTAACTTAATTTAATAATTTATGTTCATAAAAAATAATATTAAACAAAACATTACTTAATAATATCTACGATCTAAAAGACTCGACTTAACAACATAATATTAATTTAGCATTTCAGCGACCAGTTCATAATAAATTACTCTATAAAAAATGATCCGACAAATAGAAACTATAGAGTTTGCTTAACAATAAAGGAATTTAATCTTTCTGATACTACCTACAATCTCATGTTACACAAAAAGAGAATATTTAGTTTGGTCACAGGTCCAAGTGTACTGTAATTTTTACAGACGATATGTAACTAAAATGTATTAAATTTTAACATAAATAAACGTAATGTCATTTCTTTAACTAGAAGATCAAGTCATATTATGTTTCATTGTTCAATTGGAATTTAAATTATCATTCTTAATCGATTCGATTCAATAAGAAACTTAATTTAATTTAATAATAATTTGTCTATTTCAACAAATATTAATATTATTATCAATAAACCATTTAAAACATATTTATAAAGAAATCGTCCCGTATAATTTTTTACAAATAAATAGATAACTGTAGGTAGTTTTTTTCAATAAAGTTGATTTAAACAGCTCAAGTTGTACACCCTGACCACGGGGATAGTTTAATTAAATTTAATAATTGATTTTTTAAAAAACTCAAGTCAGTATTTGTGTAATTTCTAAATTTTAAACATTTTTGTTTCAAAATGTACATAGCAGGAAAATCAAACACGGAAAAAGTTTTTGTAAGCAGTTCTAAACATTATTTATACAGCAAAGACAAAAAGTGTAGGTAAAGGCTTATTTTAGTATAAATTAAAATCATTTGATGTCCAGTTATGTTTTGTTTTTATAACTTTAACTTTATTTTAAATGACTAAAGCGATTGACTCTTAGTTTTCAATTTCTGTTTGAGAGTTATTTCATTTTTAACAAAGATAAATTTGCATATGATAGACACGAGTAAGTGGTATTAATAAATCTCATACAATAATAGCATTATCATTTGTATATTATTATCATCTTAAATGTGTCCGCCAAGTAATCGCCTGAACGAACTTGTTGTTTACATATTATATAAAAGTATTTCCGGTATTTTGTATTAATAATACCCGCAGCATCTATACTCTGTAGCTATTGGACCAAACCTATATTGAAGTAATGTAAAAGACAGTTTAAGGTAATATTATTTAAACAAGTCAATGTGATATTATTCGTTGCGTTATTTTTAAAAATGACATCATAATGTTACAGTACTTACTACATAGTTAAATCTAATCGAGCCCGCTGCATTATATTGTTATATATAATATTTTAAGCTTCGGCCAAGGCAAAAAAACAATCTGTACGCGTTATAATTTATTATCAGTCCCCAGACACTGTTGTGAAGAACAGTAATTATTTCTGTCGTCAGCATTTCCCACGAACAATTGTATTTTAATTGATCGTGTGAAAACGTTGAGTTTTTCATTATCCCCCACCCGTATATTGTACCTATAAACTATTCGGTATAAAATTTCGAATGTACCTTTATTTTTGAATTCATAACAAAAATTACCGGTATGCGAGAGAGAGATATAGTTGGCGACAAAACAGGAAAGTAAAGTGAACAATAATTGTATAAATGTATATTAAAAAACGTTTTGTAATTTGTCTGCTTTGAAAACAGTATAACGTTGTTTATTTAAAAATTATATCCTCCACCGTTCAGTGCACCTGGGGGCTTTACAGTATCATTTTATATTTTTCGCGGCTGCTTTCGTTTTTTATTTACTATGGTCTCAAAAGTCCAATTATGGTTTGTACTTTTAACGATACCGTAAAAAACACAATAATTGTTATCATAATCTCCCAAACATATAATGTAGTCTCTGGCCTTCCAATAAACACCAACAATAGATTTGAAATTGAATACAATCCGACTTTGTGAAAAGCATGTCAATTATAGGGAAAAAAAATTTAGCTTTTATGTCTTACTTGACTATAATATCATAATTTATAAGTGTTAAAGACGATTAGAAAATATTTGTATGATAATTGACAAGTATGTATAATTATAAATACCAAGACTGCGTGTAAAGTAAACCCTATTGTCGGATAATAATTTCTGATAACAAATCGCGCCGTTATAATATATTATGTAAGCAGAATGTAGTACTTGATTAAAAAAAGTGTTCGCTAAAAATCAATGAGCACATAAATTGACACTGTCGTGTAATGAAAATTACATGCCATTTTTAAATGTCAAAAAGGTTGTTTATGGCATGTTTAATTCTTTCTCGAGTAAGGGAATCTAAAATAAAAGTCTTACATTCTTCCACCGACTACAAAAAAAAAGTAATTAATTATCAATATTTTCGATAAGGTACGTCAGGTTAGATCTGATGCAAATTGCAACGTTTTGTATAATTTAGCTGTCAAAATTATTATTATTCTACGATAACTGGTTAACTAAAACCAAAAAAATGTACTTCAAAGATCAAACATTCAATAGTCACGGCGTTATAAAGTTTTGGACAAAGATAATAAATATTAATCAAACTGAGAACAGCATAATTTTGCGATCGACCGTTCTTTTAACTGAGTAAATAAAACAGAAACGCTAAAGAGAATAGAAGGTCGTTTATTTTTCATGAGGTTTTTTGAAACGAGATAATAATATGGTTATGGGTATCAGGATTTACCCAACAGGTGATTAAACGGTTATGTTTATAACAAACGAACAATGTGTTCTCTTTTAAGCATCAAATAACATTTGGGTAGCATGTTTTTATTGGTAGTTGCCAAAAAGAGAGTGAGAAAGTTTATTGCTAAACTCTTTTGAAATGGAGGAAACCCAAAACTATTTAAATAAATAAAATTCCCGGTAAAGCTTATTTGACACCTTTTGTTAACACGAAAAAAATCAAGTGTCATGTAACAGTTTTATGTGACAGGAATATTTCAATCGTGTGATAAATGTAAATATTAATTTTACCATATTTTTATGACATTTTAAGTTTATCTACCTATGCCAAATCCAAAAGGTAAAACATTTTAATATTTTAAAAATAAAATGCTTGTTGCAAACATAATTTTACTAACGGAAAAATGCTATAATCAGTGTAAAGGTAAAATAATAATGTTATAAAAGGATTGACTGTTTTGTGACGACTTGAACTTGAGGAGTGCTAGCTACTAGGGTACTTATATAATTGATAGGTAACCACATATTCTAAGCCACTAAACTGAATTCTTCCTACACTTATAAGATGATGCTAAAAAGAAATTTGAACTTGTTGATGTATGAAAAAATGTACTAATTTTGTTGATATTTGTTTATAAATAAATTTAATGTTTTTCTATTATTATTCAAACTCTTTTTACTGTTTACATTGTACGATCTGGATTAAATACTTTTGAGAGTTGTTAATTTACATACCATAGGAACACAATAAATTAATTTTTTATCGGGATACTTTTATGTCATTTACTAGAGCCCTTCAAACATTTTGAGAAACCAAAGGTATGGTAGGTGAATGAGGGTTCCTTAAAAAGTTAAATGGTAGCTATATGTTTGTAGATATACCAGGTCCTCGTAGTAATTTGCTTTCAACTCGCATGACCTCTGTAATATGGAATGTATTATAACAATTCTTCAATAAAATGTTGGGCACTTAGTAGTTTCACACTTATCTATGTCAAATTATTATTAAACATAAGATTAACAATAAGATTTTAATTTTTAAAATAAATTCATTCTAGACTGTTATGCAACTTATAAGAAGAAGACTATTGGGATCATACTTTAAATAATAACTTATTGAAAACTGAGGCTTTGTTAACGAAAGAGAATTGGCTTATAAAGGATGATTAATTGATAAGAGTGAATCAGAGTATAAAAAAAATGAGGGGTCTGAGGGAAAATTGTATTCACTCCTTGGTTAAACTTTTCCATTCAGTTTTTTGATAGAACCTAAAGTCAGCAAAAATATATTCTATGTTAATTAAGTTTCTCACATTTATTTAAAAATTACACTTTTCTCACTTGTCTTTATGCTATGACTTAACTTCTAAAGAACGGAACAAATCCAGCACATGGTCTCTATTAATATTGATATATTATAGTTAACAAAAAAATGTAAAAAATAAACTACAATTATATTAAGATAGTATAAGACTTACAGTATAAAATGTATTATAACAAAATTAGATATTTGTATAGAGGTCAAAATGAAATATAACAATATCATATAATATGAATTATGATATTAGTTATGTTATGGTCACTGGTGACTCCAGTTAATTTTAAAAACGCAACTGCAAATATTTTACTAAACGGCGCTGAGGTTAGATTATTTGACTGGCATTATCAATAACAGAAGTTGAAGTTAATATGTATTATAATTTGCAAATGTATTTACTTTAATCTTTCTCGACAATACTGTTGAGTCATAACTATATACTACTTCCAGACAGCCGAGTCACAAGTGGTATGACCTTAGAAATGTTATTTCCGTGAGGTTTATTTGCTTAAACTTTACTGGAAGTTAATTAATTTCACAAGGACATTCTAGGACATTTCATTTTGTTTGCATTTTTTGTGTACCAGAGACATTACCCGACGCTATTCTACTATTATTCACTCGCACTAGGGTCACGCAAAACCGCAAAACATTATCATAATAATAGTAATTTCTATGTAAGCTAAGGTGTACCCCACTATAACGTCTTCGTCGCCTTATCGACCATATTAAATTCGGTAACGGTCGTGAGCTTTATTAAACGACATAGTGATGTAAATAACGTACAAATTCCAAATTAAAGTGCTGCCATAATAGAATGTGCTCGGCAAAGATAGTGGAGAGAATTCCTTGTGCGTCTTCAACGAAAATGACATATTTTTAATGAATAAATATAATTAAATCCGCGAAAACACTCGTTGGACATATTAAATTATAATTAAATAATTCTAGAAATATTTTCGGTTATAAAACTCGATCGATAATTCTGGAAACTTTTTATTCGTTTTTTGTTAATTAATAGCAAAATAAAATTCACTACTATGTGTACGAATGTTTATTATTTGTGTACAATCACAGACATCACAGTATAGCCTGTTCTAAATGGATTAAGAAAATACAGGTTTCGAAAATAATAATAAGTATTATTCAACACAGTATATTATTACAATAGTTTTTTTATTAATAACATAATGTATGAGCAACCCCAAAAAATATTATTTAAGACTTAGCGTCTTGAGTATTACTATAATTACAAACACAATATCTAATTAATAATAATATATATCTAATAATTATATTTAAGACCAATCATTTGATATATATAATTTCACAGTAAAGTTTTGTATCTCTCTCTTGATAATGACAGCACTAAACGTCTAAACGTATGTAATATTGACATATCAAGAAAATATATTTTAGATAAGTTAAAAAATAAAATTATTCGACTAAAACTTGAATGTATACACTATTTTTGTTTACACCGTGTCTGTTGTGACCATATGAGCTACTTGATCAGCGGTAAATACCAAAAGAATGATTATTAAAAATTTGTTAATAACGAGAATTGACGGGACGTACGATGACTTCAGATATCTGCAATAAAAAATATGACTTATTAGATACTAAATTTGTTTAGTGTTGTTTGATTGAGTTTAGTCAAACATAATTTTATTTAACAGAAGCAACTAAGCTATTTTAGTTCCATTAAAAATCATTACATTTTGCATTTTTAATATTTAATAATGTTAATTTTTATTTTCTAGGTCAGAGAAAACGCGTCGAACAATAACGGTAAGTCGCATTCAATATTATTTAATTATTTATTAAAGAATATTATACCTACATTTAAGGGCTTATATTTTTTAAATTATTTTATTTTTCTATTAATATTAAATGGCTCATAACCATATATATATATACTATAATTATAGTATATTATATATATATCAATATTATTATTTTAATAAAACTTAATATAACTGAACGTATACCATCATCAACGGAATCCAATCTTCAGTTATTTATTAAATATATTTTGCGTTCTTTTCTTCGAGATGTTTATATAGTTGTACACAAGAACATTTCCATTAAAATCAGTTTTAAAATAATTTCGAAAAAATGTATTGCTATCATCCTGTCAACATCACCGTGTACAGAACATTATGTTTTCGAAGAACGACTTCAACAGAGCTTCTCAGTGTCTAACATATTTTTCCACTCTCCCTTTTCTGTTGTCGACCCCTGAGTATTTTCTGCTCGCCCTTATTTTTAAAAATATTATTCAGATTACATTATTAAGATTTGGAAATATATGCCTCTTGAAAAATACAATATTTTATGTGAAATACATTTTTTATACATACATAATTATCTACTCCGTTAGTTCGATAAACTTTTAGATGTTCTACAGTTTTACTAATCATTTAAAATCAAAAACTATAATTTTTACCTGTACTTTTGGCGGCGCTTTTAAGACATTCACAACTACATTGGCTATGTCCTCTGGTTCAAGTATAGGTTCGTTGTCCGGCAATTTTTTATCGGAGTTTCTATACATTTCTGTATTTGTCAACGATGGACTTATATTCTGTAAATGTTTGATTAATAACACATAAAATGTTATACAGCTAAATCAAGAACAAACTGTTTGCTATGGATCAAGCATGGGGGTAATTTTAACTAATGGTATACAAGTATATTTAATTTTATATTTAAAAAATAATAATTTTTATGAATAGCGTTAAATAATAGAACATTAACACTTTAAAATTATTCTTAATTTCTATAAAAAAAATTACTTAAACTTTTATCTCATTTGTTTACAATTTTCCCTTTGTGATCCAAAGCATTGTTTGTTTTACTAACGCACAGTAACTCGGATGTTTGTTTTTTGCGCCACCAATTCTTTGCGAAGGCATTCGGCCAGCACTCGAACTCCATGCTTGGTCGCTTTGTACATCATCGAGTCGCTGGCCTGGTCACCAACAAAGTGACCGGCTAACCTGTAAAAAAGTCCCCAAAAAAATGTTTTACTTAAAGTCATAGTCATTCAAATAAAAAAAAATATGATATTTCAAATGTTAACAAATCGACACTAATGAACTTGTATTGATATATCAATATATAATTTTACAATTTAAACTCTGAAATCAAAAACTAATATAATACTTTGGCTAAGTTATCCTGAATGTTTTTTTTTTTATTAAATCCCCATGACACCTAAGTCTAAACAAGCTTGTCGATGAGTTATCAAAGTATGGATAAAATAAAGAACTTGTAAAAGAAGAGGAGCGAGAGACCATAATATAATATTATGCCATTCATTTATTATTGAATGTTAACTACTCTTCTGCTTTATGTATTGGAATTACGTTACGTTAAATATTTTATTTAATATATAGTATTAACGCAAGTCTTATTATAAAATTATAATAATTCATCTTAAAAAATGCAAATATAGTATTCTATATTTTAAAGAGCAAGCGAAGATAGTGAAGAAAAAGATTACATAATAAACCTAATTTCGTTATTCCAAGTCATATTGGTCGTGTTTACATTATCTCATCCCCTGTCCTCTACATCGATGTCATCGCCTTGTAGTTAAATTACATATTTAGCTACTAGATAATAGTATGAACATTTTGAGTGTTTGGAATCAATTTGCAAAATCGTGAGCTTTATGGGTACTTACGAACATATGTAAACTATATGACCGTCGTCTATCTGATGCCGTTTCATGGATTTCACAGCTTCGCGGGTGCATGTCGAAACACCTACTACGTTCACATTACAAATGTCTTGCCAGTCTTCTGTTTTTCCATCTAAAACAGACCAAAAATGATCTTTAAAATATGAAAACCCATTGATGGTAAAAATATGTACTATTCGATTTTTGAGTATGTTGCTAGTTTATGCTAACTTAGCTGAAACAAGTTTTCTTTGTTTACTTTTTATGTAATTTTAATTTAATAATACAAATTTAGCTTTCTTTTATTCACCTTATCTAGTACAAACGTCTTTGATTCTACGATCCTAACCCTTTCTCTCTACAAATCTCTATCCACTACCATATCTTTATTCACTCTACACATCGATTTTACATATCCACTACTTCCACATTCATTTCAAATATACCTCTAGATCCCTCTTTAATATCTTACCTATTTTACGATTTCATATCTATTTCTCCTTTTTAACATGTTCAAACTATTACGATTTAGGTTCTCAAAAAATAATGAGATTTCCCTCCTAAAAAGTTATTTCTTAAGGAGCTTATAATATTTTGTACAACATTTTAATATATAAATTCAAAAGTTCGTTGCCAAAAGGACTCAGAAAATCAACTAACTTCCACATAGATAAAAATCTTATTTAACTGCATTAATGTATCAGTGTGCTAAATAAATATAATTTTAGTTATGATATAACACATAACAGAAAAGTTCTCGCTGCAAAACTGAAATATTAACTTATCAGATTTTTTAAATATTCCTCCCCATCCCAGATGTGAGTACTTTGAGCCGATGAAATTTTACTTCTTGTGTACATTTTATTTATAATCCGCCACTGGTAGTAGAAATTAATATTACACGTGTTATACATATTATTTTTGACACTTAAAAATAATTAGTAACTTTTTATACTACCTAACATAGAGTTTTTTTTGTTGACACCCGCACAATTAATCAGCACATCCACTCCTCCCAGAGTCTCTTCGATCCATCGGAACGCCTTCACCACAGCCGGTTCATCGGTCACATCACACTGCTTGAAATGCAATCTGATTTCTTCTAACCGTGGCTTTAACTCCTTTGTAAAGTTTTAAAAAAATTATTAATTTATTTGTCTATTTACTCTAATGGGAATTAATGGATTTGGCATGAAGTGATTAGGATCAAAAAGACATAAATTACTTTTGTATAATTTTACAAGACCAAAATTAAAGTTATATTTCTATTGGGTGATGCTTTTGACATTAATTAGAGTTAATCAATGATTTTTTTATAAGTTTATGACAAAATGTAAAAAAAAAAACACAAAAAGAAGTAGAGTTCATTGGCAAATATTGCAAAATCCAATACTTCTTTTTGATAAATGGTCACTTGTATCATTTGAGATCTTATAACTTTGTGTATTGTTTTTTATTGTAACTTTTACCCAAATATTGTTTGCCTTCAAGTCCAATCCAACAACGGTCATACCTTGCTCGGCCAACACTAAGGTCACGGCTCTTCCTATACCGGAAGTCGAACCCGTAACCACAGCCACACGGTTCTTCCATCTATCCATGGAAATACTATTGTTTTTACCTTACACAAACAGTCGGTAACTCGGACCAGCGATTACCGTGAACACAACCAACCCGCGATGTTATTATTATAATAATTCACATTGACATCTAAAAGGCAATTATGTAAGAGTTCGATTTAATTTTTTTCTACGTGAACACGGTTCGTTTTTATAACATTAATGTTACAGATAACCTACGACATTATTGCTTGATTAAAAACCGCTCAAAGGCGGTAAAAAAATACTAGAAACGGATTAATTACATTAGAGGAGCGACGGGCGCTTAATAAAAATCCATGTTGAATATACATATAATTATGTACTAATCAAAAACTTATTAACCGATTTTATCAATTCTGACCTTTATAAAAAATCTACCTTCGCCACGCATTTTGTTGATATTAATAACTCTTATTTTAAGTGGTTCCAAAGTTTTAAAATATTTAAATAAAAGAAAACCTAAACTTATAGAACAGATTAACGAGTTTTGTATGGTTATTAAACTGAAAAAAAAATTAAATTTGGATACTTGGTGTACTTATCAAAATAAAAGTTTATTGGGGTTGTAATATTAATATTCTTTATTATATGAATACAACTCAAAATTCGGATTATTTACTTTCTATTATTTTTTTCTTCTTTTTAATTTAAAACCAGTATATTATTTTTTTATATGTTAAGGTTTGAGCAATTGTGTTTAGGTTAGGTTTAAAAAATATCCAATTTTATTGGCTATTCGAGTCTTACATTCATATTATGGTTGTTGCTTGGCTTTACGTCAGTAGAGACCTATAGAGTATACTAGGAAAAGAATCAATAGGTATCTGACAATGGATCAGAGACTAGAAAACTCATTCGTGCAGTTATTAATGGGCAGTAGAATTTCGAAATCGATTACATAAAATTCATTAGTTTAAACTTTAATAAAAAAAAAAAAAGGTAACGTCTTAAATAATCAAATCTAAACCACGAGTGATATTCATGTCATCATCTCATGAGATTATCAAACCTACAATCGTCTTAGAGTAACATAAATCTTCAGAGCACATCTAAAAGTAAGTGATAGTTATATATACAGGGTGTAATGTAAAGTTGTACAAAGCTTCAAATGAGACATTAAGGATAAAAAGAATAGAACTCGTATCTCATTAAAAAATGATCTTACGAAAAAAGTAATTATATATTTAAAATCGGTAGAAAAAATCTTGTTTTAGATTTATGGTAAACAGTTGAATTTCAATTACTCGAAGACACTATGAAGATAATATTGTTTTCTATAATAGTTACTCGTAAAATTGTATCCTGCGAGTACCGTTAAAACGACTGCCCCAAAAATCTGGTCTCGTCAACGGGGGTCTTAAATGATAAAACCAATTATCCTAATGTCTATCTGATTTTATTTTTTGATAATTATATCATTGTTGGATACCCTTAAATTATTTTTTTTTTTTTAAATATTTACCCTACATAGCAATATTTTGTCATACAACATAATAACTGTTGCCTCTTTGCAAATGTAATAAAACTTAATTTTAGTCGTCACACCTTCAAATCCACCATTTTCTTGCGTAATTAATCCCAAATAAATTATTCTAGTTTTTTTATAAATTTGCTCACCAAGCGTCACAGGTTCAATACTCACTTTGAAGTTCTAATACTTCCTCATCTATACTTGTTTATACTGTCGTTCACTAAGATACAATTTTTAATCATTGAAGAATATGTTTCTGGTAAGTTCATGAGTTAGTAAAACATTATAATAGCAGGTATACATTCATAACTGATGAACTTCCTTGATGACATTAGTAAAAAAAAAACCATAACTTCTTAATCAATAATTTCTCAGCTTTGTGTTAAAAACACATCATGAAAATAAATAATTACAAATAAGAACTATTATTTAACGTACCCTATAAACAGATTATATAACTTTTTTTTTTATAAATTATTTATGTTGCTTATTAAGAACAATTTAATGAAAACATAATTAATTGATTTAATTATGTAATGTAACCCCAAATCTGCGTTCATTAACTTTAGTCCAAGGGCAAATTCATAATTTCCTGTATAGTCTATAGTCTGACTATTATTTACTAGTGTCAATTTTTAAGAAGAATAGTGCGCAGCAAATCTGCTAAAGTGAATTCGTATTAAAACGGTTAATGCTTGTTACTAATACCTGTAGTGGAATTCCTTTTATACCAGGCAAATTCCTTCCAAGGAAATGCAATTTCTAGTTTAATGTATTTTCACGTCTCATTGGTTAATAGTAATTGTTTCAATTTAAAATCAGAAACGTCCAAGTTACAGTGGAAGTATAAATAATTATGATGTAAACAATTAATATGATTATTCCTCAATGTTATCCATCTCATCTTGTACGAATCAAAAACTATGTCTGTGATAATCATGTATTATTTTAGTAAATCCAATTAGTTCAACCATAATTTACTCTTGCTTAGAAATTTGCTTTACATTAACCTTTCCTGCACTTGTTCACGGTTAAAACGTAACTCGAATGAGATGCAATTTTTCTTTTGGCATGACCTTTGTCTCTCAATTCATTGTCCTAAAACTTTGTAATAAATGTTTATACTCGTTCGTAACACACAATAAACGTCTAAAGTGATTTTTATCATTTAATTTATCCGTATACCAGCACTTACTTAGCTAGTTCACATAAACCAAGTTATTAAATCTAATTGTTTTCGTTGGCAACCATAAAAAACAGTGCTAATTTTTTTTTGTCTTGGTTTTCTATGTTATGTCAACTGGTACAATGGAATTTTTTGCTTTTCTAGATATTATATACTCACTTTTGTTGAAAATACACTTTACATCATACATTAAATTTATACATTTTAATACATTATAATATTAATTCATTTAGAAACTCTTTACCGCGGGTAATCGATAGACCGCTAGGAAACATCTCAACTAATTGAATTATTTTTCTTGAAAAAACGCTTGGTTTTAAGCTTATGTGTGATAAATAGTAATATCCATTGAACCAGCCATTAGTCTAGGGCTAAATTATATTAATTTGAAACTGTTAGATAAGAAAAATTAAACATGACCCCTTCACTTGTATTAAACGAGGGAAAAACAAATTCTTAACTATTTCAGAAACGCGAAATTAAGCATACAACATTTTTTATTTTTATTTTAACTGATCAGAAAAAAACATGTAAATGATGGATTTCAGTGTCGTATCACTTATAGCTGGCTGTCATGAGCATTGTGTAGCTATACAACGATAACTCACGAATTTCGGATGTGAGGCACACACACACACAAGTGTTGGTATACTTGCAGTTGGAAGAAAACGTGACAGAGGGTAGATATCTGCATAATATCTCGATAAGCGATCATGTACAAACCATTCCTTGTGACCCAGTTAAAAAAAAAAACGGGAATTCAATAAATAAAACGATTTTTTGTTGCTAAGGGCAATTTTTAATTATAAGAATAGGAGCAGCAGCCATGTACAGGGAGGAAAGAAACGGAGAATTCGCTAATTACTTCGAAGTTTTCATTGAAAAAGCCCCTATCTCCCTACGGTGTTTGTGCAGGTGAATACCAAAAAGGAAAATGGATACAACATAATATAAGTAGGAAAAAATCAAAAAAAATCAACTGAAATTCCGTTTTTTGTTCACTTACGATTTATTATTGTGCGTTTGTTAATATCACAAAAATGAAAAGATTACAATTCGGTAAATTTATTGTTAAAAGAAAAAAACATTTTAAAATTAGTAAACATTTTTTTTTTTTTTTGCACACTTACTCAATATTCAGATCCCGTTGGTCTTATTATAACATCGGAAATCTGTAAACAACAAATTAATCACAAGGAGTATAATAAAGTAAAACATACTTTTTTTTTAATGAGTTATAATGTTCTCTTTTGGTATCACATTATAAATTATTGTGGTCAATGGTACTGACAAAAATGGGCAACATGTCTATTTACTGCAAAGTAATTATAGTAGAGTGCCGTTTTTTTTTTGCTACATGTACATATAATCGATACATGTGCGTACAGCTAATATACATAGTATTCCATATATTTAAAAATTGAGTAATTAGATTTGGTATACAGATTTCAGTGTTGACATAAAAGAACTAATAAAGTTTAATGTTTATGCTGGATATAATAAATTAATAATTGGGATTACAAAACGTGAACAATAAAAGAAGAAAATTGTATGGGTAGCGGGTAAAGATATAAATGATAATATACCATTTCGTTTTGATATTTTTTAAATTGCTGAAGTACAGTACTTTGTTTAAAAGTTAAATTCAGCATCTTAATAATAGTGAATGAATATAAGATTTAAATTATGAATACCCCCGGTGGAACTTCTAAGTAGGTAGGTAGGGACACTGAAATATAAGAGAAACCCATTCAAAAGTAATTCCTTTTGAAATTATTGATATTCCAAGTGGGATTCGGTGCTTTATTTTTCATAATAAAATAAATGAGACGGCTTAAGGTACGCGTATTTATATTTTGAAATTGAAAACGATTAATACATAATAATATAATATATTATATTATGTATAAAACACAGTAAAAAAAACTACCCTTGCTCAAAATTTCTTTGTATACACTGTACAGTATAAGTATTTTAATTTGCCCCGTTGTCATCAAAGACATAAACAAATTAAAAATTTCAATCTATCCATTTATTTAAACAATAATGATGGATTTCAATATATACCATATGTTTTAAAATCGATATTAACACTTAAAATTATTGTTTCCTTTTTCTTCTGCCAATAATTTTAAACACTTCTAATTATGAACTTTTATTACCAATTCATTCTACTTTGGTAAATCAAATGCATAAGTTGCTATTTTACTTTTAAAGTATAATCTCTCTAAATTACCATTTATAAAATATATGTTTTAACTTGAGCATCAAAAACTTTTTTTGATCATATAATAATGTAATAACGACTTTAATTGAAAGTTAATTACATCTAAAACAGAAGTAATTAATAGTCCATAGAATTTTGAAAGAGCTCTACGTAGTAACAGTAGCGTCAGAGATCTTTCATATATGAACCGTTTGTTGTAATATTAGTAGTGGATCCAGAAGGGTAAAAATAAAAATGGATAAAGTCGAGGAAAACGAATAATGCAAGATGAACCGTAGACAATACCAAAATATACGACTAGTTTGACTCTCAAATAAATTAAACCGAAGTTAATATAAAGTTTTAGCATTTATAAAATGCAGCTGTCTAATAATGAAATTGGAGAACCCGATGAAATGGTGTTTTTTAAACATAATTTACTGTTGTGAAATTGGAACGAAATTAATTGAATAAATTAAATTACTCCGCAGCAACTCTTCACGTGTATAAAAATCGCAACACTAAATAAAATAAAACTCATTTGGGATTAATGCTTTATGGGATTTGGGGCTTTAGTTTTAAAATGATCGACTTATAACAATACAAATTACAAGTATAGTGTACTGTCTTCTCATATCAAGTCATCATGTAAAAATTATATTATGTCTATTTTATTTTATCATTTACGCCTATCGTACATAAAAATTGTATAGATTGTGTAATAAAAATAATAAAAGAGAAAAAAAGTATACTGACTAAAGGTAAGATATTTTTTTACACGTGCGTTTTTTGTTACTTTATGGTAGGCTTTACATAAAAAGGAAATATTATGTTAAACCCATTTGATGAATAATTTATAGACCATATTTTTTATAATGTCACCTCCATTACTACTGACTCTTTCTTTACGTCTTAGCCCACTCAAGTGCGCAATGGTATCAGTCGAGTTTATTTTTATGTAAAATGCATGAATGTTTTATTAAACCTTTTTATGCGAACCTTAAAACAAATAGTCTTTGTCACACAACAATTATTATGGTGGAGTGTATACGCGTTATGTTTTATTAGCATTATCCAAAAGACAAAAGCGTTTACTTGGACAGAAGGCGAAGCTGACAGAATCCAGGCAACGATTTCAGCTATGTCTTTACATTCCAAGTATGGCATGTCATCAGTGATTTTCCTTCCCGATCTCTCGAATATTTCAGATTTTGTAAATGAAGGACTCACGCTCTGTAAAATTAGTACAAATTACACGTCTTTTTATGTATACAACACTATATTCCACTTTATTCCAGCCACAGACTAATTTGATGGCAACTCAGTAAACGATGACAAGTAAGTAGTAACAATGTCGGTTATCTGTACGTATCAAAAATTATAAACATAAAAGCACATCATTGTAAAAAAAAATACCTTCCCAGCTACGCATTGAAGCTAACAAGACATTTCCATTTGGGCCATTTATTTATTTGTCTATATAATGGCAACTTTTAAGCTTTCGAAATTACAACTTTTTTGGTTTAACGAGTTTATTATGTTACATACATATCTGCTCAGATATGGCAACCATATACATGTATTATTACTAGATTTTAAAAATTACAATTTTTTCGATACTTCTATTGTATACTTCGATGTCTCATGCCACTACACTAAATTACTACAGCTGGAAGTACAACATTTTCGTTATTGTAACCAAATTTGATCTTGGAATAACTAACCCCGCTCGCCTAGCTATTAGTTCTAGAAAATCACTTACTGAAACTCGGATTTTGGAACCACTGGCATTAAGTTCTTGACGTGTTGCTTCGGCCATGAGGGTCACGCCGTGTTTTGTTGCACAGTAAATTCCCGAACCTATTAATGGCGTTATCATGTGGCCCACGATCCTGAAATCATTATTTATTTTGTATGTAGCGCGGCTGTAAATATACTTCAATACCGTCCTAGAGTAGTCTGACATCTTTATTAGACTCTTTTTATGTTTTCAATTGAATATAGGTTTGGGACTAAATTGTACTTCCAAATTTTCACAATCCATCACCACATAATGCAGAGTTTTTAATTTTGGAGCACTTTATTCTTACACGAGACAAGACGAATAATTTCAAACGGTTATATTACTTATCAGATGCTTTTGGGTTTCCTTATTAAAAGGCCTCGGAGAAAAGGTTAATGTTGCCAAAAGCGGTAAGAGTTGGCAACAAAGCGAAGTGAAATATAAAAATAATTAAAAGAAAACAAGCTCCAAGAAAATTATAGAGACAAAGACGTTCTATTTGGTAAAATCTACCCAAATTAAAATTGTTTGTTTCGAATTTCTAATTGTATTTAGTAACAAAGTTATAGCTATTTAAAAATTTGTATAATAAGTTGGTTTTAGTAATGAAATATTAGAAACCCCCTTTCAATTTAACAAAACTCAGTCAACGTCTTTTTATTCTAAAACATCATAAACCAAATATATTATTAATTATTATTATATTATATGACGCTCGACTTAATTTTAATGCGCTGCAAATTTTAAAAAAAGCCATTTAAGCGATTGCTATCAATAATATTTTTAAGAAGGTATAAACATATATTTTAGACTTTGCTTACAAAGATATCTGATAAACCCTGTAACATAAGGCAAAACGATAACCTAAACTCTGACGCCACGCATGACACAAGTTAGGTGTGAAAAAAGGCAGAGAAATAAAAATCATTCATTTTATCGACTTGAGTACATAACAAGTTGTTAAGTTATAGGGTCAAAATGGCAATAGTATTGATGGCGTTAGGACTACAGCTTAAGAACTACAAAAAGAGATCATTAAAACGGACGCAAATTATGCAACGAACTTTGTCTACTTGACAAACTAACTTTTCGTCAAAAGCCAATTTTTTAACAATACTACTGTTTATGTGCTCTACATAAACAGTCTTGTTAAGAACTGTTAGTCCCAAGGCGGTTCACCTAAAACTTAAGGGAGACCGAGTAAAAACGATTTCGAGGACTAAACAAATTAGCTTTAAACGAAATTTGGCAGAGTCATCTGACTCATAGTTCTAAAAGAATATAAACTATATTAGGTATACACTTAAAAACGTACATCGATTAATGAATCCAGCAAAAACACAAATAAAATGTTTAAGAGATAGGTACTATTTCGCTAACTAAAAAAAAAAAGTTTGGAAAAAAAACAACCAAGTATACCTAAATGTTACTCAAAGAGACATTAAAGCGGTTTGTGTTTTTGAGGTTTTAGACCAAAAAGCCTGATAAAAGTTCGTCTACTTAGTATGGTCAGAAATCAGAATTTAATTCTGTAAAGAGACATGGTGAGGTCTTTAGCTACTTTACTAGAATTTGTCGGAAACCGATTTTTTGTTTTTTTTATGTAAACAAAATTGATTTTTAATATCAAAAAATGTTCAAATTGAATTTATTTATATATTTACAAAAAATTGAATTTTTTAAATGAAAATCTATTTCCTATATGACCTTGTATAGTAGTCAAATAACTCAAGACGTAAATTGTCTGACTTTTAGGTCTAAAATAACACCAAAATGACTTTTCCTCATAATAATCCCCTTAATACCCTATGTACCTATGGAGTATTTTATAACAATATTATATTTAGTTCTTACACACAATAGTTATATTTTTTGTTTATACTTCTTGTATTCATAGAACTTTTTATTTTTGTGTTTTTAAATAATGTAATTCAGTTAATTGTGTACACTTCACTGTTCCTTTTTTAACTATTTACTTATGGTTGAATCTAAGATACAATGACCAAAATCAAAAGTAAATAGTAATACATTATTTTGTTCTTGGCATTCAGTCTCTCGTGTCAAGTAGGTTAAGGTTACACATATCACATGTGTGAGTATACAATTTATCTAGTCGACAAACTATTAAGGCTCAGTTAATTGTACGTACGAACTCATGAAAATTAAGTGCCCGTCATCTATTTTAAATTTCCTCATGAATTTGACAGCTTCTCTCGTTATAACCGCTACGGATATCAAGTTCACGTTAAAAACTTTTTGCCACAATTCTGTTTTTCCATCTAATAGTAAAAAATAAACATGTTTATTAATAAGCACTGACGTAAACGTTTAATTTTTTAACTATTAGTAACATCATAATGAGTACTATTTTTTTTAAAAACTCAATCATTGTCCTAAAAAAAACTCCGCCAATTTATTTTTAACTTTATACGATAAAAAACAATACGGTTCTTTGTTTTAGTTAAAAATTGAAATAAGAACGAATTCTTGTCTTCCACAAGAGAAGAAAAAAAAAACGTTGTACTCGCCTGTACTCGACTAACGGGTGTAATTAGAAACCTTTTAATATAATAAGATCACTTCGTCTAATACAATAATAAAAGACAGACATAACAAAAAACATTGTTTCTCTCGTTATGCTGAAATATCTTTACAAGATTAAATATAAATACATATTAACATTAAATTACTAAATAAACAGTACTATTATAATATCACTGTAAGTTACTCTATTTTATTGCGCAATAAAAAAACGTCAAATAATACCATTAAAAAATGAGTACCTGCTAGATAAGCTACAGCTCCTATACCGGCGTTATTAATAACGACGTTTAATTTTCCATACGTTTTTTCAATCCAAGAGAACTCGTTAAGTACGGCTGTTTCGTCGGCTACATCACATTGTCTCCCAACAAAGGTTTTTCCCTCTGTAGACAGTTCATCTTCTATTGTCTATGGAATAAAAGATATAATTATAATAAATCATAAATGCATCTCATTGTTTCAAACTAATTTATACAAATACTGAAATTGCCTATAAAACCGCAAGTAATGTCTTTCTAAATGTCAACCATAACGAGTACAACTTCAAATGTTGTTTTCATTAAAAAAATATTATAAATTACCAAAAAAAAAAAAAAATATAAATAACTCCGTTACATTAAATATAACTTACAATTATGCCAATTCTAGGGCCGCGACTAAAGGCGTTTACCTACTTTGCATTTAAATTCATTTTTATCATCTACTAATTAATTATTAGTATCAAAATAATTTGCTTGAAACATTTAAACACACATATATTGTTTGTATACCATCGAGTGTTAATTATTACAAAGTTTGAAAGCTTGTATATCCTTCTTAATAGATTTTTCAGTTTCCACTAGAGCTGAATGGCATATAAGTATTGTCATAGTTAACATTTGGGTCGTTTATTGTAAAAGTGGTGTAACTCCAAATTTGCAAAAATATATATATTTTTGCTTAATGGAGCATTGGTTTACAAAAATTCAATTCAAAATTAAATTACAATGAGATAATTCACTTTTACACAATGAATGACACATTTTAGAATGCAGGGTAGTCATCTACGGGTTAGAGGTTATAATTAGTAAGGAAATGACGATAAGTTAAATAATGCATTTTAAGGACATTTTTACCAAAAATCGACTACAAAAACTATTTTTTTTTTAAATTACGACAATTTAAATTTACTCGTACCAGTTTTCAAATTTGTGGGAATACACAAAAAAACATTTTGCATCCAGATGTTGTCTACATTTTCTGTCACTTCTTCGTCTTGATCTACTAATAACGACACACCTTGCAAAAAAAAAACTAGCACGTTCCGAAATTGCCAAGGAAAAAAACTCTTCAGCTTGGAAAAACACAGAGCTTAAGTGTTATTTCTCGTTCGGCGCCTTAACGTGCTAGTTTTCATACGGAGCGCTAAAAAAAAGTTGGACACCAAAAGTAACTCCCTTCATAATCTCTGTATATTACCCTCACTTTATTTTTTCCACTTACCTCTATGTTTCGCCTAATAACATCCAGCCACTTCCTAAAGCATAGTGCTTTAGGTAGACCTCCTTACCATAGTTATTTATCCCCATTACTTTAATATGGAAGTATAACACAGTCATGTCGACAAAATATCGTACATTTTTTTATTGCAATAAAACACTTACTTTTAGTTTATCCAAACGTCTAGCCCAACCAACTACCACCATTCCATGTCTTGCTAGCTCAATGGCAATCGATTTACCAATACCCGCAGAAGCTCCGGTTACCAATGCCACACTTCCTTGCCATCGGTCCATTTTCTTCACAAAATCCAGACTTTTATGAAATAATTGTTTATTTCAGTGAACATACTACAGACTGGCTATCATATAATATGAATTATATATTTTGATTACATGATTATTAAACTAGATTAAAAAAACATAATCTTTAATTATTTTTTTATACTAAACTGGGTCATAACTTTTAACTGATAACATTACGATTGATTAGTTTTTTTTAACTTATGTAAATAAAATAACCGTTTTTACTAAAATAACATATACTTAATTAGTATTGGACGTGACCTACGTCTGTGACTATCATATAAATATTTAGTGCTATATTAAGTTTAAGGATTACTATAATATGTTACCGCATCACCGGTTACAATATCGCAGATGACAAGTATAGACAAGTATTGGTTTTTATCGAAGTTTTGTGTGTATCAATCTTTGATGATTTTCGATTTACGATGATTTTACTTTATAGTTATATAATATACTCATATACTTTGTACTATGGTTTACGCAAATCAGTAATGCTTTAAAGATTTATAAACAATATTTAATACATTTTACAGATTTAACATCTAAAGGGTATCAAATATGAAATACCATTACACAATTTTTATGCTATACCTACAAAATATATTTTTTGCTTTGTAGTCAATTAGATTCGTCATAATTTGTTTAAGTTTGTTGACTGATATTTTGCGTTGTCTTGTTTTTTTTTTGGGGGGGGGGCTCTCTGCCTCTCTACTGCATCGTATTGGTTAAAAGTTTTAACAAAGGTCCGATAAATATATTTTGGTTCAGAAACAAAAACTACGTAGGAAATGATCAGAAAAAGAGAACGAGAAAGCTAAACACATTTATGAAAAAGTAGAAGAAAATATAAACAAAATTTCCCATTTGAAACTCGAAACTCTTAGTCCTAAATCATTCGATTGAAATAAGACTATTCTGTTAAATATAATTAATCATTAATCAGAATTCGAATTGTGTTTTACAGTCTACCTAACCTGGTTGTTCTACCCATCGTACCTCCATTAAAACCATGCAACATAATTACATCAGACGTTTTGGTTCTAAATAATAATTGTATTACATGAAACCTCCAGGGATTTCCCGTACAACGCCAAGTTAATACAAGGATATTTGGGAACCTCAACTAGAAAGAAAAATTTCATAATAGAATTAAGCCAAAACAAATAGCGATAAAACACAAAATGATCACATTATCACCTTGAATGAGTTAAAAATAAATATGTATTAAACAACGTTTCTGTTTTCCAAAATATAAAAAAGTTTTATAAAAAACTAAGTTACAAATAAGAATATTACCTGTGTTTTTTCTATGAGAGAATTTGTTTCAATTATTAAATAAATAAACAGAAATTACACAAATTAAAAATGTCTATAATTACTGTTTTGTATTAATTGTTTGTACTAGTTAGCCATTAATTAAGACGTAAAGAGCAAAGTTTCTTTCACCTATTACTCATATAGTGATTGATGAGAGTGAATATGGGGAGATACTAATACTTCCCTTATTCAATTAATATGATATATATACAGAGTGATCCAACTAACGTAAGACAGTATATTTTCTCTGAAAATATGAATATTTTGAGAATTTGTTTTTCCCTATACTTTTAGGTACATATTTTACTACATTTTTCAATATTATGAATATTTTATCACCACTCCTCGTGAGCCAAAAAGAGAGACTTTTGGTTTTTTTAAATGGCAACATATGTTTTTAATTACATAACAAATTTAAAAATATGTTCACGTTTGGATTTTTTATTTTAACTTATCTGTTTATTAGCTATGACTATAAACTATAGTCTATATATAACTATATATAATCATTAATCCGTTTTAAAATGTGTTACCTACATAATATTTATTTGGGCTACTATGACTTAAATCACATTTATCAATTTCTACTTATATTTGTAAACTTTGATCGGGACTGGGATCTTCCGTGTCGTCAAGTTGAAAAATAACTAAAATGATAGAAAAGTTAGCAATATCAAATTCAGTACTGTACTGCACCAAGAGATTTAAGCAGCACACTTATAAGACTTAGAAGATATGGGAAAGGTAATTCAGACAGAGAATAAATAAGTTTATAGTAATGTTTAATTAACACTTTTAAACACAATAATAATTCAAGACAATACTTATAATAGTGACACAGAGTATCAATTAGACCACTGAGTATACTAATTAAGTACTGAGGTGTCTAGCTTAATAACTAATGCCCTTTTATATTAAACTAAACAATGGTTAGTCCTACTACTACTCAATAATAATAACAATAGTCAATAACGATAACGCGTGATTGGGCTATTGGCCAACACGCGCGGCTACAAACAAGTAAAAGTATTACAACATCTATATGGCAATAATAATAAGACTAATAATAACAAACAATAGTATTGGGATTATTACAGTACACAATTTCGCGAGAAAAAAAATCCTTCGCGTATTCACCATCATATTTTTACTTTTCCTACTTCGATATATTATGCCGTTATAATCCCTCAGATTTCATACATTCTTTTGTACATTAGCAGCTACCGACACATTCATTAATTCTTCCGCCGCCGACGTGAGTGGTTGCTGGCAGTTGAAAAACGAGCTTCGGGAACATCCATTCCGACCGTGGGTTTGCTGTAGCAGCAATAACGGTGGTGGTCGATTAGAGGTTCGGGTAGGGTGTAGATGTCATTATATAGGAATCCGCCACAAAACAACGGGTTAATTTGGGTTCGTAAATGGAAATGAGGGCAAAAAAGATCGATCCGCCGGAAAAGCTTAATAATATTATGTACCCTGTGACAGAGGATCACCGGGAAAATCGTGTTGGTCAATAGGAAAAATGCTTACATTCATAAACGTTTGTCTCCGGTGGACACTGCGACTACGCCCGGATGTATTTAATTAAAAACACACAGATAGTTATTCATATTATTGATTAAATGCATTTTACAATAACCGTAACGACTGCTGTCGTAACACGTACTCTGTTAGAAAAACGTTGTTAAATGTGTTTTGTCGGAATATTTAAAACGACACTTCTCATACACCACCATATTGTATATGAAATTATCGTTGAAAATCGAAAACAATCACTGTTCGTCTGTTCACATGTTGCGTTATATTTAAAACCGTTATATATGTAATATATATATATATATACACCTTACCAAACATGATTGTAAGTTATAAGACTATAAGTTGAACTACTTTAAAATACGGTTTGATATGGAATTCTTGTATCATATGATAACCGTTTGTTTGTTTTGCTTGATTTCAGGGCCATTTAATCGGGTATCACAACGTATACTAATAACACCGGCGGTGACGACATCGTCGGACTCTAGTGCTAGCACAGGTGCAAAGAACAATCATGCGACAGCTCAAGTAAAAAAATAATACTAATTCCGTCTAAAATCATACAGTTAACTTCAGAATTTCATGATATAGTATTCATGCAATAATATAGTATTCGTATCATGAAATACATTAGACCCTATGTAGTATATATTATGTATAAAGTATTAAATAATGCCCATCTAGTGTTTTTGTAATTAATTTACAATGCCGAATGCAAGCTTAGAAATGTGGGGGAATTATGGGTGGGTAAACAGTCCTGAGACTAAATTGAAATAAACTTTGGAAATCTATAAGGGCTGATCTGCCAATTGGCTCTAAGTGACTTTCATCAACACTTTAAATAGGTACCTATTGATTACTGTCTTAATCTATTTCAGCAAATCCCGTTAATATCCCAGTCTTATCATTATATTCTATGCCACTAATATAGCTTATTAAATACATATATTCTGGAATTCAATTAACTCGCTGTGACCACGCATCTGTTTTTTATACAACTCCAGATTCTAACCATAATTGTTTAGTCTTGTTTTCCAGATTTTACTGCTTCTTTATATCGCTCCTCTTTATTTGTGTATTATCGAAACAACTCTTAAGCTATCTGCTACATTCCTCAGTCATGTCATTCATCAAAGGCTGTCCCATAGTATAAAATGAACTGAAGTTTTTGAATTAATTTCATTGTCTCATTAGGTTTCGTTAATTATGAAATGTTAATTAATATTTTGATTATTAGAGAAAACAATTTTAAATGTTGTTTTACTTATTTAATATAATTGTATTTACAATAATTACTATTTTTAAATAACTAATTATATGATTGACAGGCTAACATGAATTCGACGGATTCAATGGAGTCAGATGAGAGTAAAAAACAAGTTGCGAAGGCTAGCCGGAGCCAGCAGCTTTACTCGAAGCAAGACATAGTAGAACAATATTGCCTAAGCGATAAACAGTTACAAGTATTAAACAGGGTCAGACAGCCACCAACATTGTTCGGATGTATATCCAGTCACAGAGTAATGATTATTATTGTTTATTAAAACAAATAGCTTTGTTTCATTCGTTTAAAAAAAAAACATGTCATACTAATCATTCTAACCATATTGGTCGCACACAGAATTTGTTATGTATGACATAAATATAAACTATATAGGTGATCCACGTTGTTTAAACCATTAAAACATTTCATTAGTAAATTCAAATTTTAAATTAAATTCATCTAAAATATTTTCTGTACTCAAACATAAAAAAAAATTATAGATTTAAATATTTGATTGCTTAATTTTCCCTACTCTGACAAATTGCATCTTTATTTCTTTTATACTGTTGAATTTGATGCAATACTTAGCTCACTTCAATATCTATTTTCTGCCGATTATAATAATGTTTTAATTAATCCGATTCTTATTCAAAATATAATACATCTATATCTTTAGGTTTCTGATATTTCGATAATCTCGAGGAACGAGGTGACCGATCACCTGGAGTACTCTAATAAACATAAAATTTATTGTTTTCTTTCAGAAGTTTTTTCTTAAAAAATATCCATATCCATGTTCATATGTACTTCCGTGCAGCGTAGGTCATGCCTACTTTTTTTTCTCTTATCTTCTTTCCTAAATTTAATAACTGTATATCACAGTATTTATACACTATAGTGTGTATGAAATACCTAGCAGATCAAATGGTGTTCACTCCCTTCTAGTTTTAATTCTTGGCACTGGATGGCCAGCCCTGGTTTGTGAGCCTTTATATATCTCGTTTCTTCGTTGCCACTTTCTCCCTAGAAATATGACTATTACAACATTTTTAAATGACTGTAACTTAAAATAACGCATCGAGGTGCCCTCCAGAATATTGTCTTTTTTTAATTTAACAATATGTGTACTCTAAAACTAAAATTAAGCGAGTAGTGCTCAGTCTGATAAATCATATTTTTTTACCACTGAAAATCACCGGTACAAACGCCCTCTTGATTTTAGATTTAATGCCGTTTTTTACCAATTGTTAATTATGTTAAAAATATGTCGCCGTTACCAGGAGACTTCCTGTGGCACTAAGGGTTCGCCAAACCTACTGACCGCTTGCGTCGGTCGCCGGATTCCAAGCGACGAAAACCTGCAAGACCTTTACAAACGATTGCCGGCTGACTGCGCTCCGTACCCGCCGCAATGGTCTCGGTACCATCATTGCCACCCGGACGTGTTCACCGTGCACCACTGTCACCAGCCGGATACGGGCGACGGGCAGTCGACAATTCCGCCAACACCCGTGTGTCAAAGGTCACCTGCGGTCAGGAAGCACAAATGTTGGCCGCCCGAGGAAGAGGTACAGCTTGCTGCTACTGCCGTTGTGCGGGGCATAGCAAATGAGGGCAAATCCTATTCCCTAAACTCATCCATTTCGGTTTACAGGAATGCTTGCACAGGCCGTGCCACACCATGTGTCATGGTCGAGCAACGGGAGGCTGTGGCGATTGCTCCGAATTCCACCACTGCACGCCGCATTATTTACCGCCGCCCCCGCCACCGCCTCACTCGACGTCTAGGTGCGTATATTTTCAGTTCTGAAATAAAAAAAACCGACCTGTCCGGATGTCAGAAAGATGGTCGTTAAACCACACCCGGCTAGAAATAATTATGTTTAGATAGCGCATAAACCTTTTAAACCGTAAATAGTCTTAGAACGAGAAAAACATGCGGGTATTTGTCCAATAGAACTGTCATTTATACCTCAGCTCTTATTTGCGTTGATTGTACGGTTCGTTTGCCAGATGCGATTGAGCCTAACGAATTACGTGTATATGTATAGAACGTTTCCAAACATGTCGAACAGGCGATAAATTATACTCATAATAGTACTAAAAGAGAGATTACGAATAAAAATCCGGGAAAATTTTTATTTTACTTTCTTTTACTTACTTCTTTGGAACAAATAGATTCATTTGTTCCGGAAAAAATAAGTCATTCAAAGAAAATGTATTTTAACCTTCTTTTTTATGTTTTAAACGATCGTTTGAATTGAGGAAACGTTTTTTTTTTTTTAAATACAATGTGAATGTTGCCTGGAACTTAATCTGTACTATTGAGTAAAAGTGCAAAGATAATGAAAATTGAATCGTAATACTATAATCACAAATAGAATCTGACGTACGCGTACTTGTACTTATTACATCACATAATATTGTTGTAAGATGTACTTAACTTTTCTGTCGTGTAAACTGTTTCTCTAAATTTGAACGTACGCTAGAATTTTAGTCATTATGCGTTTCCGTTATCTCATGCTCCATTTCAAGCTACTAATGATTAATCCATTATTCAGCACTATGGTGAACCCGAAACTTTAATATTCAAAAGTACGCTCATCAATCAACAGAATTACGTAAGCACCATAGCGCTTTACCCTAACACCCGTACATCGGTTCAATTTCAAAACCTATCCTTTTAATTCCCATTTAAATTGTACAAATTATTAATCACATTTGAAAAATATATACACCCCTTCGAACCACATAAAAACGATTTTTAAATAGTTGGTGCTGGCTTACCTTTACAGCACCACCTGCTCAAAAATATCATTTTTCTAGATTCTTGATTAGATTACGAATTACCCGGTATTATTCAAAAGCCAGATTTTTAATTTTTATCTTTAAAATAGTGTCCATAAGGGTAACTCACTTTAAGCATCAACACAAATTCCATACTACTATAACCTATAAGGTCCTATAAAAGTGTACAGTTATATTTTTAACTGCATTGTTATACGGTTAATTATGTTGGTTAATATTCTAACTTATTTTTTTTCATGTTATTCTTATATTTTCTTTATACGTTTAACAGTACAATTTTCAACTTCTTAGTTTATCACGTACGTCGTACGCCTTTAGGTATTTTGTCTGGTGTCAATCTCACTTTATATTAGCATGGAACATGTTTTAGACTTGGCCCCCCACTTCGAAAACGACATGAATTAGCGTCACGAAAGTAGCGCTAGTGATTTCGAAATCAAAATTATATTTGATCATATTTGTTTCCAATAAACCGATTAAGGCTAAATTTAAAAAAAACTACTAAAAAACATTTGGCTTCAACATAAAATTAAAACTATACATCTCATCATATTATATCGCAAGGAGTTTATAGATCGGAAATAATAATCATTATTCAAGAGCCAGTAGACTAAAGCATGTTCCATGTTTTATCATTTTAGCCGTTAGGCTTTACATAGACTGTAACTATTTCCACTACAGTATACCTACTATTAACTATGGCTACTAGGGCACGCAACTGCAGGCACCTACGCTGGGGTTGAAAGAGTAAATTTGTTTTGTGTTGTTGTTTGAATGATACTATTTGCACGCAGAATGAGGCATGTTAGTTTTGCCCGATCGCACACAGTAAATTCGTTTGATAACGTCTCGTTGAAGTCCGCCAATAGCAGTAAATCGTTAGAGAGGTTGATTGACGGGAGAAAAATGCCGGAACCTACAGCCTGTGCAGAATCGCCCAAAATCATCGTTTTAGGTAAGCCGAAGACCGAAAAAAAAAAATCATTGATAATAGTTTTCAAAATTGTGCCCAAGTTTCGGTTTATTAGCCGTTGTTATGTTTTTCAGAAAAAATTACACGAGCTCAGAAGGTTCAAGCTACGCAAACCGATGGTGTGAGATCAGCGAGTCCAGCCACTCCGCACAGGGTAAAATTAGTTAGCCAAAAAACGCCAGTGAAGAAAAACGCACACCGAGAGTTACAGACACCAATCAGAGATCCGTCAAGGTGAAACGTTTAGAACAACTAATACATGTACACTCCTCTATATATATTATAAATATTTAAATAAGTTACCTTCTTCATATCGTGTCTCGAAGTTTAAATGTTGAGACATTCTAACACCGGTATTTGAACTATTTTCGGTATTTATGGTTAAACTCCACTGTTCAGTGGCGACCGATTGTCACTTATTAAGTCCCAATCTTCGAAGAGGATCCTACCTTGTCGCTTTATTCATTAAGTCGTGTTTACATATTAGTCTCATCCTAATTAATTCGTAACAATTTTACCATAATCATTTGATTCAGTCGAATGATACGTTATTACTATTTATTATATATTTGTTCAACAGATCGTCAACTGAACCCAGTGGTAATGAAATTTTAATTGATTTCGAACCCAAAGATCCACCATATCGTAAAAAGCACAAAACTCCGTTGCAAAAGACGGTTTCTGCCGGTGAAATCCTAATCGGAGACACTGCTAAAAACCGAAGCAGGGAAAACGTAGAGGCGTCGGTGTCCGATGGTGAACAATGCTATAAAAATTTGGTTGCGGCATCTTGCGTAAGTAACATAAATGTAAACGAAAATAAAACATAATCGGTGTAGTCAACTAGTAGAGCTAATTTGAAATTGTTTAATATAAGTTATACCCATCATTGACAACTGACTAGTTAATTAAAATACTAAAGTCTACTATTAAAAAAACGTCAAGGAAAAATAACACAGTGCTCCGAAAATTTTTCAAGTACTCTTGTGCAGGTTGTAAGTGGAGACCAACATGAAACCACGTTAAAAATTGTTTTTACACCCTTAAAATTTCAATTTATCGATAATGTCACTCTCGGGGAAACTGATTTCAGGTATAAAAAATGTTAGGGTGTAAAAATAAATTCTAAACTGCTGTAGCCATATTAAATATCCATATTATATATAGTCATGCTTAAACTAATATTAAATATTTTCTTATGATTAATTACCGTATTAAATCAGTTTCTTCATTATCCAATCAATATTTTCATTAGAAAAAATACCAAAAATGCATTTGTTACGATTTATTTAAAACTACTATTTTACAGGCTTCCGAAGCGTCTTTAGAATGTTTTCACGAAAACGAGAGTATTCTTTGCGACGAATTTTATAAATCTAAGAGCAGCATCTGCTTGTCTGATTCGCCAAATAAATACAGAGTCAAAACACCTTCGTCTTCCAACGAACAAGAGCCAAGCGATCAGTCCCAAACGACCGTAAGTGTAAAATATGGTGTGACATTTTATATAACTGTAATGCGTTTTCATTGAAGCTCTTTCGTAGGTTTTGCAATTCGACAAAGGAACTAAGAAAACCGAAATTAAGAGCACATCCGTTTTTGACGGAGTTCAAACAAGAATAATTAGATACACAAATCTGCCTTTAAAATCATCAGATCTTATTGAACAAAGGTCTCAGAATACTTCAACAGGCTCTGAATGCAATACGAGTATGGCACACGTTGAGCAGTCCGAGGTGTCTACTTCGACGGAAGATTACGTTACGGCCACTGATAGTGCCTCGTATACTACAACGCCTACACAAGGTCCGTCGGTTACTAATAGTTCGTTTGACAGTGAGTCTTCAAAGTATAGTTTACCTCACCCACTTTTCGATCACGAGGTAAGAGAAAATAAAATATTCTTATTAAATATATTAAGAGTTATTGATTAATATAAGAGAACGTTTTCCGTCAATGCACTAAAATAATCCATCTATTAATTCATCTTTACTTATTATAAATATCTTAAATAAAGCGTTTAGAGTAAAACAAAAATTTCACAAAAATGAAACCAGTGCAGAGAGGTAGGTGTAGTAACAGGGCTGTAGGAATAATTATAACTGATTGTGAGTTCGATGAAATCACTGTTCAAAGATCAAAATAGCCTCGATTCGAATGTATAGAGGGTAGAAATATTAAATATTAAAAAAAACACTATTAAGGCAATAATGTACCTAAAATGTTATTGTACGCAACGTGGAAATTGAGTATAGTAAAAGTGTAATTTTCCCTTTTTTAATTTTTTTTTTTTTTAAGTTAGACTGCAGATTTTTGAGAAAATTATATAATATGTTACAGCCTCACTGTAGATCTACCTTCAGTCTTATTATCAGACCTTTTGGCTTATTTCCTAAAACTATACTCGAAAAAGTAAAAAAACACCTCTCGATGGGATGAAATACAACCCTATTGTAAGTTTTCACCCCATCTGAAGAAAACAAATTGATAATTGTTTGGTTTTTTGACGTACTACATTTTAGTACTTTATTGAAAGAATATTCCATACAAACTTGGAACTAATTCCACTATTTTAAAAAAAAAACTTATAACGCGGCATTATTGTTGCTCCAAAAGTTCAAAAACATTTAAATATGTTATGTACTTTCTCAATTTTGAAGGGGAAGGGGTAAAATTTTCACATTTTTTGCCCAATGAAGTATCTTTTAGGTACGATTTATGATCGTAAAAAACTTGCCTTCTTGACCTATCCCACAGTGTCCCTTTTCACCCCTTGACCTATACAATGGTGCCACGAAAATCGTTGACGCTAATTCCAGACAAATCTCCAGCCTAAAAACACATCCATTGATCCATGTAAATAATATTTTGATTGCAGTATCTACAGGGAATACACGACCATGTAGAACCTATTGACGAAGAACTAGGCGACGGGGAGGACTCCAGCGACGATGAGAGTAGTACATCCGGAAGGTAAAATAACTACCAGTATTATCATACGCCATTATTTTGGGCGATTAGGAATAGGACTTCAAAAATACACAGATTGATTATGTTACTATTTTTAATTCTAAAAAATACTCAATTATCAATAAATGGGTAAGTCCTTAAATAGAAGTCTAGTATGAAACATTTATTTTTGTATATAGAACTTCAAGAACAAACTTTTTAAAAAAAATTGCTTAAACTCTGCCAAAAAACTATCTTCGATCCCCTCAAAAATATAATGAGTCAGGAAGCATTTTAGAATAGGAAGTAATACTAACATTTTATTAAACATATACATTCTACATTAATATCAATTATTTCGAGCATATCGAGTAATTCCATGATTACAGAATGACTAGATGGAGGTTCGTCTTCTATGCAAATTTTTGAAGTCCTGACGATATGTTTGATTTTGTGAAACATTTACATTATAGTTTTTTATATAGATTATTTTATTTGTGTGTGGTCCGATCTTCTTCTTATTTTTTTATAAAAAAAATCATTCATTCATTTTTCTTCTTAATTTTTTATAATCATGCATGAAAAGCACAGTATTTTCTTTCTCCGAGTACCTACCTACTTCGTAAATACGTTTACGCTGAAGCAATTATTAGAACAAATATACAAGTGAACGTTAATCTACGACCAATTATAAAACCGACAACTATTTCAGTTACAGCGTGAAGTGCAGTGTTGAGGATAAAAAGAGCTCTACGTCGTCAGACGAGAACATCAAAATGAAACAGAAATCCTCCTTAATGTTGGCTAAGTGAGCAAATTGTAATGATAGGTTGTTGTAAAACAGCAAACACTAGAAAAATAACATAGGTAGAGCTTATACTATTAAGGTACGCTCGATACAAGTTGCGTGCAGCATAGAACATTATATTATAATAATAGGAGAATCGGAGGTTTTGAATTTGTGAATGGAAAATTATTAACAACTGATTATTGCAGCAGAATTACTAAGGCGAAATTGCATGCGCATACGGCACAACTAGAATGCCACTAAAGCTTTCCTGCTGTATGTACTTGAACATTAATTGCTTTTCATTCATCCGTACACATAATACCTACCAATCTTGTTTTTGTACGCTCAATTGGAACTTATTAAAGTTTAATAACAGTAATTTATTATAGGTCAGTACCAAGAATGAAATCGTCAATGAAGGAAACGTCGAATAAACCAAGTGATCCAGATATCATTCAAAGTAAAGCATTTTGTTTTGTTTCTATAATATAAATAATATTTAAAATGTATTGTTTTTTTTTAATTTTTAGACAGTCGGTTCGCTGCTAAAACACCAACAGATATAAAAAATACAAATATAATTAAGGTAGTATTATTCTATTATGGACAAGGTTATTTTGTTATTTAACCCGTACAACAAAAAACTTTTAAAATTTTCAAAATAATGATAGTATTTTTACATTTGTATAGAAATTAATGGGCAACGGTTTCACTACAAGGATACCTGTGCCTGATTCTTCAGACGAGTCTTTGATGGGCTCTGAGCAACGGAGGACAAGCTTAAGAAGGAAAAGCATAGGGTCTGTTACTAATACAAAGTACGATGGGCTTTTAAGATACGATTTTACTATAAACTTTTCAAAAGAGAGTCAGAGATGAATCATACCAAATAATGTTAAATATCTCTTTCTTCGCCCTTCCTTAGCCCTCTGTCTCCATTATCAGCTGATTCTCTCATTAGTCTATAAACAGCCTTTATTTCCAAATGTAAAATATAAATTATTCTATGCATTATAATTTCCCATATGTGTGTAACAGCTGTGATTTTGTTTTCATTGTTAAGATCTATCAATGATAAAGCGTTGTATTTTCAGTCCAACAGATAAAAAGTCGGTGATTATAGCCAATGTCGAGAAAAGAAGAGAATCTTTACCTGAAATTCTCCAAAAGTGTCCAGACTTGACTTTGGCGGGACACCCTATAACCGAAATCAATTATCACGAAGTACAGCCTAAGTGCACGTTGATGACGAATCAAATTAATAATTTGAACTTAAAGGCAGTTAGTGCCGAGTCATTGCGTTCAATTAGTCCGGGAAGCGATTCGGTATTTTACAGTGATTCGTGCAATCGAATACCTATGTCATCATCCAGATGTGCGCGATGTAACGTTGAAGTCGATTCGGAATTCAATAAAAACTCGAACGACGAGTTAATGGAAATTGTTAAGCCACCAGAAGGATTTGGAGATTCTCCAGACGAACCTCCCGCGATGCCAGTAAAACGGTTAACCAAACGTTATCGGTCCGAAGAGAGGAAAAAAAGCAATCGGTCGGAACAAACCCGAGCTAAATCTGAAGAACGAGTGAAAAAACACAGAGAGAATGGAAGGTCGGTTAAAACTAACAATATAAGTATTTATGTTTGCGTTATGCTATTTTGTTACTGTCTTTTTTTTATCAGGCCATTAACGAGGTCCACCAATGTTAGTATGGAGAAATTAAATGGAAGCAGCTCAAGTCTACACTCGGATGACGACGATTGGTCGGGAGTCTACACGACACCTTTTACTTCCTTCTCTTGGGCGCACATTGACGAAGTAGAAGAATTCTTTGTGTGGAAAAAACCTTCAGATTTACCAGGTATATGCCATTGCCTATCAACGTAACTTATTTAACACATTATTCCTTTCTCTACAAGTATGCCAAAGTAACGACATACTCCGAGTATTCATGTTAGGCAAGTAAAACACACACTTATGAGTTATGCAACGGAACATCTTTTAGCAGTTATCTCACCTTAGGACCATGGTTTTTCAATAAAAACTCAACGCTAATTTTTAATTTACGTTAGCTACACTAAATATATATATATCGTCTCATTGTGAGTGTATCTGCTCAACTCCACAATGTATGCCTGAATACACCTGGATTAATACTTGAGTGTTTAACTTCTTAAAGGTGTGACAGCCTCTAGAACTTATTAAATCATTTTAAGACTCCTTAAGGGGCCATTTAGGATTATAACTAACTAATTTATAGAATCCACTTTAGCTTTGACAACCTTTACTATACCCGGTTCGCTGAGAGAGCATGCCGGGTTTGCGCATGTAGAATGAAGACTAAGCAACAAGACAGGACGGACTCCAGGGGAACGGGGATTTTTTTTCACAAAAAAATTATATTTAAGCAACTTAAAAATTGTAATCCGGAATCCGAATCCAAAAACAATTTATAGTCAATTTTCTTTTTTTAATTTTCATCAAAACATTTTACTTAGGTACACAGCTTTATATTATAATAATATTAAAAATGGTGACTTAAATAGCATTTTTTTAAACCGGATTTTCGGATTCCCATTACTAATAGTAACGCGTTACTACAGTATAGATTATATTGATACAAAACATTATTGTTTTTCTTTTAGATAATAAGAATGTGCCAGAATTTCAAAGAAGAGATTCGATGGAGTCCACGTGTTCTGAACACGATTTCCGTATAAAATATCAGACAATCACTCATCGAATGGTGCATAGGAAATCTAGTTTAGAGATGTTCAGAAGGCTTTCATCGAAATCATTCGGTAAGGCTTCTTCACACTTATTTGTACTCAAACTTTATCTTTGTACATTGACAGATAGCGACAAAAGACTCATGGTGAAACGGGAAACCGGTGGATTCGGTTTTCGTATACACGGAGCTAGGCCCGTCGTGGTGTCCGCCATAGAAACAGGGACGGCGGCGGAAAGTTCAGGCTTACAGGTGGGAGACATTATCATAAGCATCAACAACATGTGTGTGCTGGACGCATCACACTCGGAGTTCGTCGGCGTGGCACACAATGGTTCTGACATATTGGAACTGGAGGTAGCCAGGACGTGTGACGTGCTCACGCCAAAAATCGAACCCTCCAAGTTCAAAAGCCGAATTATAATATCCAGCATACTCTGGAAGTTTAGTATCGGCACGAAAAAAATGAAAAACTGCTGGCAACCGAGATACTTCTGTCTGAAAACCGACAATTGTCTCTATTACTATAAATCTGCTTCTCTAAAAAAAGTGCGCCGTTGATTGCTTTCAGCTGAATCCCTCAATGACATAGTGAACTTATAATAGTTTTGTCGTTTTAGGATCGTCATCCTTTGGGAGCGCTCAATCTTAAAGGCTTCACCGTAATGAGAACATCGGATACAGGGAGACTGCACAGTTTTCGGTTAGAAAAAAAAGATCTCAAGAAAACAAGATTACATATTGCCGCGGACAGCACTGAAAACGCTGACCGCTGGTTCAAAGCGCTCAACGAGGCTACTAAATGTCCCGTGAGTGTCATGTAAACCACTAAGCTTATATTTTTATAACACGTTTTTCTATTATTTATAGATAACGACAAGAAATTAAAACAAAAAATAAATATTTCTGAGAATAATGTTGAGGTGGTGGTTGTGTAGAGTGACTAGTATAAATAATAAGAAAAATCTTAACTTATCGTAGAAAAGATAAGAGAGACTGTAGATTGAAGCGATGGGCATTTCACCTAAAGGGACCTACCTTACCTAACCTAACCTTAAGGGAGATATGAAAATTATCGAAGAAGGAAAAATAAGTAGACTGTAGAGTAAGGTCCAAAATGAAATGGACGGCATAATTAAAAAAAATATGATGATGGCTAATGCGTGTGTGTGAAAGATGTGACGAATCGTGTTGTGTGGTGGTCGAGGACTACCTTGATGGACGCCAAATAGCAGAGATAAAAAAAATGATGAGAAAGTAGAATTTATTGGAATTTATTGTACAGCTATTTTTTAAATAGTAATTAAGACTATAACTAGTAGACTTGTAACTAAAGCTTTAAAATGATAGGCTTTTTAATTTATTATGTTACCAATTGCAGTCATTCGAGTGGCTAGAAGAAGATAATCTAAAATCTGTGGTCAATATCGATACGCGATCGGACTGTCAGGGTTTTCTCTCTACTTTAGTCCATCACTGTGGTAAATCGTGGAAAAAATACTATTGTGTACTCAAAGACGCCAGGTTGTATTTTTTCGTCGACAGCGTCACTCGGTTTGCTAATGGTATCTCATGTCTCTTTGCTTGTAACAAAAATACTTGAATATTATGTACTCTCTAAAACAATACTATTATTGTACTTGCATAGGGATGGCATGCCTTCACGGTTACAAGGTGCAAAGTTCCGTCAACGCTAGCATGAGAAAATTTGCTTTTGAGCTCATACCGCCGGATTTATCATTTAGATATTTTTATTTTTTTACCGATACCGAAGTAGATAAGAGAAGGTAGGTCAATACTAGGTTAATCGAAAACGTCCATCCTAAATAAATCAATTGACTAATTGTTTTGTTATTGATTTTTTTCTAGGTGGATAGCGGCTCTGGAATACAGTATAGACCGGTGGATAAACGTTTCATGATACTAATATTATGCATTTTCTATTCAACATACAGACACGTTAAACTAATGTAACTTGATTTATACTCTAAAGAAGTATGTAAATGCAAATAGTATGTTCTACTAAATGTTTAACAAATTAAGAGGACGCCACATCGGCCATTTCTAAGGAGTAAAGTATAGGCAATTTATCGAAAAATCTTAATTTAGAGGTTGAACTTTAATTAAGTATACTTAATAATATAGTAATGAGGATACTTTTTGTTGATTGCTATTTTTTTTTTTTTTTTTTGTCAGACTATCACATTCATTTCTATAGGATAAATTACAATTTTTTTCCAATCAAAACTGCTTTGCGCGGATTAATTTTTCTCAGGTTTCATAAATAGTTAAGGAAAGAAATTCATACATATTATACATGACAAAATTATCTGTGCTCCAGCATCCGCATTTGTTCGATATACCTAAAACAACCGACCCTATATGATTTTTAAAACATTTATCATTTATACCGGTATATCATAAAGTGTCATGTTTTTTTGTTATTTTAAAAATTATGATTTTATAATCAAATAATTATTTGTCATTTGTTTAGTTGTGAAAAAACAAAGCAATTTGTGATACCACACACAAGGAATAATTTTTGGCCAATGCAAACGAATTTCATCACGCACAGACTTCTACGTCTATTTTATGTTTTATTGTAAAACCATTATGTAAAGATTTTAGTTATTACCGATTGTAAGTTATAGTGATACCATGCAAGTATACACCAATAACCAACTTGCGTTTCATACCAAAGTACTATGTTAAATGTTTCCTTTCTAGTTTGTCATTTTATTTGTATTACTATTAATTTTATTAACAATATTCAACACTCTCTTTACATTATTCTTATACACCAAATAGTATAATTAAGATAAGTGTATCATTATTGTATTATTATTGATCTTATTAAAAATATAAGAAGAATTTTTGGACATTTTTTGTTAAAAACCATATGTATTTTAATGTGATTATTAGTTAAGTATGTGTACATTGATCTACGTATCAATAATATTAGTTTAATTTTTAGGATTTAGACTATTTTCCTACAAGTTCCTTTAGGCTTTTAATCGAGATTGAACTATAAAGAATAAAATAATTTTTATTAGAAACACGAAGAAGTATTGTTGTAGTATGCTATATTAAATTGATTAGCGACTGTTTTTTTACTACTACAATTTGTATATTATTAGATTTAGTTAATTTACTTAAATCTTTAACTTCCCCCAATGAGTGAGTGTTTTAACTGTAATCTACTAGGTAAGTTTCTAAAAAGAAGTGTAAATAAAACATATGAAGGGCACAGGGTAGTTGTCAAATTATGAAAATTTTAGAGTATAGCAAAAATAAAGTTCGTGAATTCCTCTGCCTCTTACATAAGAACAAAAAAAAACACATTAAATGATATTATAATAAAAAATGTATTTATTTAAACAATCTAGTGACATAAATAAAAACAAATAATGGCAAAAATTGAAAAGACTATTTAAAAAAAAAATTTCATAATGTGACTAATACCATTTTTCCCCTATGTCCTTCATATTACTTCATTAATAGTTTTTAATAAAACTAGACAAACATGACTAGTAAGGCAGTGCTAAAAAAGGAAGGTGTGCTTTTTAGCCCACTACTAAAAATTAATTTTCATAGTAAAAAAGTAAGTTTATCTAAAATTGGGGTCATTCTGTAAAGTTTAACAGGTCGCTCAACGTGATTTACTATGCATTTTAGGCGCTTTTCATTAGTTTGCACAATTCTATGTATAAGACTAAAACTATTCAATACTATACAATATCTTTATAAATTATAGTGTACCTAACTATAAACCTACTTTAAATGCATACTGTAAAATTATCCCCGAATAATAATACCAATAGGTATTAGCATTTAATATATATATATATACTATTCATTACATGTAGAATTACAGAACATTTAAACCACAACTTGACTGAATGGTAAGCAAATAGAAATGTTTTAAAATTATACTAATTTAACTAATATATGTTACTATTATAACTGAAATATAGAATTAAGATGACAGTATTAAATTAATCAAGGAAATTATTATTATAGTTGTTAACAGAATTAGATTATTTATCCCAGTGGCGCCAGTCTTAAAAATGTGGTCGGACAATTCCAAAACTTAGCGGCCTCAGCATGAACGTTTATATATAAAATGCAAAATTGTTGAAATAGTGGTGGACCCCAGTATTGACTTCGGCGCCACTGATTTATCCTAATCCAAGGAGTTTCCTTTCAATATGCCTATTTTTATTTCCTTAAGTACCTAATGCATCGTTATGAAAAAAAGATGTTTTTAAAAAAAAATTAATAATTATTGACAAACAAAATATGTATTGGCACTTAAAAAAATATACAATTAAATTTGCTCCATGAATTTACAATCAAAATATAAGCCCTTTTTAACCCTTTTATTATAATAAATTTGTTTAACCTTTTGGTTTATTATTAAGTTTTGTTGGTAAAAAACATATTGTAGAGTTGTGACTTAAAGAAGGTTTATGGACATCATGCAAAATATATACATATATAGTTATTATTATTTATTATAATAATAAATGTAAAATATATACTTATATATCACCTACCTAATTTTAACTGCTGGATATAATTGGGCTGATGACATTGTTTGTGTCCATTTTTGTCAAAGTAAAAATATAAAATGTTATAATGCTCAATAAATAAACTATTAACATGTAGCTTTACGTTTTTTTTTCTTTTGCGATTACAGTGCGGCTTGTAATAAACAATAGAATTCTGAGTAATTGAATAGTTTTCGAGACTGATTAAATATTAATAATATATCTTATTTTAATTAAATAAATTAAGTTATCACATCCTAAAAATGTCCCCTTCCCCCCAGACTCCCATCTTGAATAGGTACTGTGGAAACTAACACTACCGCTGTTCAACCAACATTTCTTCTTCTTCTTCATCGTGGTTTTCGACCTATAAGACCATACCGTCCAGCATATTTGCCTCCAGCTTACCCTTTCTAATGATATTTCCTTGCAATCCTCTCCTGGCTTTACCCTGTCTTCCCATGTTAATCTTGGGCTTCCCAGTGGTCTTACCTTGTGGAGCATTTTCTAGCCCCGTTCTTAGCAGTGATCCTTCCTTCTACCATGCGTGTCCTACCAGATGAGTCGTTTCTTGGTAATAATGTCTTCTACAATATTCATGTTTCCTATTTTTCCATTCTCCAGTAATTGCATCTTTACATGGACCGTATATTTTTCTGAGTACCTTCCATTCGAAGATACTTAACTAGTGAATTTTCGTCTGTCTTCCGTAACGTCCATGTTTCGGACCCATAAGTTACCACTGGTTTTATTAGTGTCCGATATATTTAAATCTTCAAATTCGTTGAAGTAATATTTTCAACCGGCTTGAATTCTCACCTTTACTTCACTATTTATTTCGTTCTGTTGTGTTAACATAGCACCTAGGTATTTGAACTGTTGTACTATTCTATAAACTTGTGACCTTCAACTTCCAACCAACTATTTTGATTGTCTTGAGGTACCTTTCTCTTTGGAATACCATATACTCTGTTTTTTTCTGTTTAACCAACAATTACTAATAAAAATAGAATGTGGGGGCAAAACTAATCGCTATCTATAGTGAGTCCACTTGGCATTTTGTTCACACATTAGTTTTTACACTGAGCACGATAATAACGGTGTAAGTAAATAGGAATTATAAAAAAAGAAAAAGCCAGCACAGTGGGAACGAGGAGGTCACAAGTCTACAGAAATTTTCTATAACTGAAAGTGATAAAGTCTATGTGAGGAATGACATATACGAGTCCGCATAACCACCAAAATTAAATGTTTTAATATGGTTATTGATACAATACAAAATAATAAATAACTATAAACAATTATTTCCCTCGCGAAAACAGAAATACAATACAACACACGACTGAATGTAATAGAGTTAAATGTTAATGTATAAGTATCAGTTAGTACCATATAACATATTAGCTAGTGCGATCACTGTTCCTTTTGGATAATCACAACTCACAGCAAAAATAAATTTCTGATAAATCATTTAACTTTGTTGGGAAAAAAATTGTTTCAGTTGACGTAAAATGTACGAGGAAGTAGGTACTTAAGTTGATCTAGAGATCTGAAATTTTAGAGATTTTTTTTTTTAATAGGCTACTATCAATTAATTTGGTAAGCTGTAGGAAAACAAAAAAAAACGGTCTAGTTTATATGTTATAATTTAAAAAGCTTAAGATCAAAAGGCTTTTAAGTTTTAACACATAAATGATGGGATATTTTTTTTGAAAAATATATCAAAATTGACTATATAACTAATATTAACTATAAAAGTCTAACAAAATTATAACATTAAAAAGTCTAATGTTTATAAGATACTAACTGGGTAATATTTAACCCATCACACTGCATTTCCTTATTATGTTAGTGGGTTAAGTTGATGGTTATTTGCAAATTCAGTCCTTACCTTTTTTCAATAATTGTCTATACTTCAACTGCAGCTATCACCAATAAAGGGTCCAAGTATATTTGAATGAGACCACATAATAGGTCACATTCAAGTCAAAACGACAAAATAGAATTATTTATGTACATACATTAATATAATTTTGTATTATAGATTTTTAAGGTTATAGTTCTTGAGATTAGTATCCGTGCTAGGTAACAGAAGAGCTTCTATAATATTGGAACAATATCTACCTCAAAATCATAATTATTACTATTATTACTACATATAACTGTTCTCTATTAACTGTGTAACACTTATGTAATAGACAGTAAACCATAAATGATAGCATTAAATAAGCAGTTTAAGTTTGTTAACATATTACATTAATAAAAATATGTAAAGCCAACAAATTTAAAAAAATAACAATTCGTAATTCTTTATGGAAAATTATAAAACATTAAGGAATATGTTTTCAATTAAACATAAGAACATTAAATTTATAACATAATTCCATATAGTAAACCATAACATTTTAATCATTAAAATCAAAATTAATACATTAAATTAATGTATTACTGATTTTTAACACGGAACACCCATGTGGAAAATACTTAGTACTTTAAAATATCCTCAAATAAAATATACTTCTTTTTACCATACTTATTTTAAATAAATAATTTATTTTGTTACCTAAAATTATCTTAATAGTAATGTAGAAATAATTTGAATACTACTACTTTTGCTATTAACTGAAAGTATTCAAAACTAATAATGGCTAGTCAAATATAACAAATTAACAATTTTAATAGTATTTTTGTCAATGTATTTCTTAAATACAATTTAAACAATGAACAATTTTATATTTTAAATAAATTCCTTAAAAAATGAATAATTTTTAAAAATATTTTTACAAAAAAAAATGTACATCTCATAAGGGAAATAATATATAACAACAAGAACAGTCTGAAAAATAAAACATTTGACAAACAATATTTAAGTTCAACAAAGTTGTCAATAAATGTAACATTTTTATAAATTAATCACCATCCATTTCTTCATCTGTGAAATCAGATGCTTCCGACTTCTTATCACCATTCAAGTCTATGTCCATCGCATCTTCTTCATCAGTTGTCCTTTTATCACCATCATCAGAATCATTATATACCAACAATGCTTCTCGCTCTTCTTTATGACGCTTATCGTTATTTAATTTGTCTACCAACGCTTTCAATTTGAAATCTAGCAAACCCAATTGCTTGAAATTACTAAGTCTTGTTCCTAAAACATCTTCTAATGGTAAAAATGTTTCTAGAATATTGGGATTTACTAAAATCACGCTAGCATGAATACGTAATATTGATATTAGCCACCGTACACTGATAGAACTTACTGACGTTCTATCTTGTGACAATCGTATTAGCTTTTGCACGAGTAAATTAATAGACTGAAGTGGTAATCGTGAAACAGTATTATCTATTGTTCGCTCATCTTTTACAAACAATGCAGACTCCAAGAGGCTCTTATCATTACTACGTAAGCCTTGAACTAATAAATGCACTATACTTTCACCTTTGGTTTGAACGGTGTTTTCAATCTCTTCAGACATATTTTGAAGTCTAGTCTCTAGAGGCAAATTGGCAGAAGATCTTATCTTTTTCTGTTCATTAAATTTTACGTCATCCATATTAGGACGAACAACATGTGCACTCATTACTGATTTTGACTTTCTTGGGTCCTGTCTCGCTAGATACATACTTTTGTTTAATTTATTTAAGTCCATATTTTCAAATGCCAAAAACGGTCTCGTACCATACGCTATAAACACTCTAGAATCAAATATTTTACTAGACACTATTGGCATTTGTTTTGCTTCTTCGCCTTTATTGCAGTCTGCTGCTATTTGAAGAGTTCCTTGAGGTTTCAGAGGATAAGCAACACAGCCGTTTAATACATGATGGTATACATGTAACATACCGCTTTCTGTGGTTACCGTGACGGTAATATTATTTCTGCTATTATAAACATATACTGATGAAATATCGTCATCAGATATTAATGTAGCTAACGGTTCTGGTTTAAGATCGCTGAGAGACCAAATATTTATGAAACGATCTCGGGCAGAAGTTAAAAGATAACATTTGTCGGCCTCGACTATGTGTAATGAAAATATTTCATTTTTATGACCAATGAATTTATGAACCAGTTCACCTGATGGATAATTCCAAAGTTTAATTTCTCTAGAGGCGGTCAAAACCCTTTCATCACCCATTACAGCCAAGGCTGACATTTTACCTAATTTTTTCTTAATTTCCAATACGTTATTTTTCAAACAGTATTTGGCGACACTCCCGTCGTCAGATCCTGTATATAGATATTGACCTGACAAATATATGCTCTTGACCGTTTTGGACTGCGTATTTATTTTAGACATGACGCTGCCGCTGGCTACGTTGTAGAACTCGACAAAGCCTTTTTGGGTGCCGACGCACATAACGTCAGTGTTGTCCATTTGTATCCATTGGACGCAGGATATTGATGCGCTCAAATGACCGCTGGGCGAATACTCATGTTGCAGATCACCGGCATTTGTATCCCACACATTTAACTTGCCGTTGACGTTGATTTCGGCATAATACCTACCCGAATGCGAGAAACCGCCGACCACTTCCTTCATGGCGGAATCCGTTTGATGACAATTTCTCAATGGGTACTGGGCACGACAATCGCATAAAATAAAACAAAATTAAAATTGTATTGTATTTCTTAAATATATTCACATAATATTTTTAAACGACGAGGCACACGGATTACGGTTCGCCATCCGCATTAACCACCACGAGGTGCAACACTTCAAAATGAACGTAGTAACAATTTTCTGTTATCACTTTTTTTATAACATTGTATTGTAATATTGTTATGGTTCTACCTCCATATACTGATAACAACAACGAACGTAACTTTGATTTTATACACATCAGATTTTCAAAAAATATCCTATGCTGTAATCTCGGTTCTGTGTTTTCAAGAAAAACTTAATTTAATAAATTTGTCCCTTACACATTCCTAGATGTATTCGAGTAATTAATACAAATGTTGACGCAGCTGTTCAAATTATCCGTGTGTCCTGTTTTAATTTTACGGTGTATTATTTTATGTACTACAATATTGTAAATATATACGTGTATAAAATAAGTTATGTATTAAATATTAATTTTTCCATTTAACCTTACTTCTGTGTTAATCTACTGTAATAATATATTTATATATTTTTTTAAACTCATTAAATTTCATCAAATTTACTTAAACATGGCCGATTTGTCTTACGCATTTCCGTTGGTACTCTTATTAGTCGTTGTTATGACCCATTTTTGTATACATAAAGTTGAGGAAGGAAATGTTGCTATTTACTACAGGGTAAAGTTTTTTCCATTGTACAATAATATCTCACTAAAAGTAGGAATTTTATACATTTTATTTTAAATATAGGGTGGAGCATTATTATCTCAAATAAGTGATCCTGGATACCATATTATGATGCCATTTCTTACCTCTTTCCGATCTGTGCAAGTAAGAACAGATAATGTTAATAAGTGTTAACCAAATCATTATAAATTATCGTTTTTATTATTTAGGTAACACTCCAAACAGATGAAGTAAAAAATGTCCCTTGCGGAACCAGCGGTGGAGTCATGATATACTTTGACAGAATTGAAGTTGTTAACATATTATGTGTGGATAGTGGTAAGTATAACATTATATACATGCCGTTGGGATGGTATTTTTTGCTAGTTCTACACTCTTGCCTCACGCCATTTGGTTGGTTCCAAAAACCAGACACTGGGCACAAAAACGCCTAACTATAATATTAAATTAATATGGTTTCATTGAGAGTGTAGAGTTATCATAATAATTTTTATAAAAGAATAATAATTTAAAGGATTTATACATGTATTTATAGGTAACCCTTTGAAAACAATAATTAATTTAATGTGAAAATAATTAATTTTTTTTCATTAAAATTCAATATATAACAAATGCATTACATTATTACTGTTAAATAAAATGTTTTAATTTTAATCAGTAACTAATGAACTTACATTTTTTTTTAGTTTACGACATTGTAAAAAATTACACAGCAGACTACGATAAAACATTGATATTTAATAAAGTACACCACGAACTTAACCAATTTTGCAGTGTTCATAATTTGCACGAAGTAAACTTGTATACTATTATCAGCTTAGGTGTTTTGAATATAAATCCTAATAATTAATTTCAGGTGTATATCGATTTGTTTGATCAAATTGATGAAAACCTCAAAATAGCCCTACAGAAAGATTTAACAGAAATGGCTCCTGGACTTAAAGTACATTCTGTTCGTGTTACCAAACCTAAAATACCAGAAACTATTCGCAAAAATTATGAAATAATGTATAATAAAAAATAATGTTACCTATAAAATTATTTATAATTAATCTTTATGTAATTTTTATAAATTGACATTGTCAACCAGGGAAGCAGAAAAAACAAAATTGCTTATTGCTACACAACGTCAGAAAGTTGTTGAAAAAGAGGCGGAAACCGAACGTAAACGTGCAATTATTGAAGCAGAAAAACAGGCACAAGTATCAAAAATTGAATTTGAACAAAAAATATTAGAAAAAGAATCTATAAAGCAAATATCATTGATTGAAGGTGTTTATTTTAACGTTAAATTTAAAACATATAAATAAATTACCTTATGCCCAATATATTATCTTTTTTTTTTTTTAGACATGATTCACTTTGAAAAAGAAAAAAGTGCTGCTGATGCTGAATTTTATAAGAAAAAAAAGGAAGCAGAAGCTAATCAACTTTTGTTTACTAATGCATTTATGGAGATTAAACGTATAGAGTCTTTAGGCAATAACACAAAATTTTATTATGGTCCTGATATACCTAAAATATTTTTGCAGAATGTTGCCCCAATGCACTGAATTCAATGTAGCTCTAATGTATATTTATATATTTTTTTTTTTTTTGTACAAAAATATTAGCTATGAGACTAATAAAAATTAATTTTACTATTATAGTATTATGATACTAGTCATATATATTGTCACATGATATGTTGCCAACAGGTAATTTGTATATTTTGATAATTCTTTTTAAATCAATTTGTTCACTTTAAAACAACTTTATTGCAAGTACTACGTATGTTTATTATGCAAATTGGTTATGTAATGAGATTTTGTTATTAATAGTCTTATTACTAAACTATAAATAAAATATAAAGTAAAAAATAATGTTTCGTGTTTGATTTGATTTTAATACAAAAGTAATTTTAATAACTTATTTATTTTATGTGTTTATTATTTAATATTGAAAACTGATTTTATTGCTGTAGTCCCTTAGTAGACTATTTAGTAATGAACATTTTAAGTTTAAACAACATCAACATATTCAATGTTCAGTTAATCGTAAAGTATGACGATTATTTTTACTCGGTTTCTCTATGGTTGTCGGTAAATGTGACACGAGTCAAAGGGATAACGAATGTTCTTATTAACTTTTGCTAAGGCCTGAGATTCTCACACTACTTGGAGTTCATTCATGATGACAATAATCGTCAAGTACACGACTCGTGTGGGACCGGCTTTATATTATACAGGCAATGCCAAGGACGAAGGGAATTTACTACAACATAATTTTTGTAACGATTACCGCTATTATTATTAAATATTTAATATCCTTTTATGAATATTCAATTTATTGATTAAAATTTAAATATGTCATGCAGTTGTAGTTACTATTTAATGAATTGCCAGGCGGAAGAATATTGTATTTTTTATTTAATCTAATCTTCTCTTCCATGAATATTTCAAGATAATTTTTAAGGTTATGTTATAAGCTCAATAAAAACAAACACATTTCCTTAGTCCTTAAAAACATTAAATATTTAAAATTTTATTTCATGATTTGTTAATTGTAATTAGTAGGTAAATGTGTTATCTTAAATTTGTTATAAGAATAAAGAAACGTTATAAGTTTTAAAATTCGTAATTTAAAGTAAACAGTTTGACGATGGTTAAGGTAAATTATTGTTTATATTAATTTCCCCTTTACAACCTCTTCTGAAATATTTTTAATTTGTGCATTTTAAATAATTTCAATGTTCTATACTTAAGAAAAACCCTCTAGTCTACATTTTTCAAACTCTTATGCTGTGCTTATTTTACTACACAATTCGCACCTGTGATTACTTCATAATACATTAAAATTCTGATTATCTCAATTTATTTCACATGTTTATCCACTTGGATTTACCAATTAAAATGTGTGTTATGTAAATAAGAAATGTTTAAAACTAAATTCTGTATTCATATTGTTTGCATTATTTAAGGCAATATTGTACGTTTTTAAGTTTTTATAATCTTATTCGGTTTTGAGCTGCACATGCTTGACCAATATTCATCATTTATGTATCACCATTAATGATATCACATAGTTGTAATTATAAAGGAATCAATCTTTTAGTAACAGTATCTTTTCCTAAAAATTATAACTATAAAATAATATGTAATATAATTGAAGGTTTGGTCCCAATGACATGTTGAGAACCAATCTGTACATTTTGGAGTATCAAAATAAAACAAAATTTAGATCAATGGACTTGATATGTTTTCATGCTATTGCCCATTGATTATGTGCGATTAAAAAATTTTGGATATTGTGATTCTTTTAATACGTTTAGATTGCTTCATAGCGCAGTACTCTACAGAAAAAACAAATACTGAAAGAGTGATCAATATTCGGATATTATTTGGACTGAACCTTCAACTATTTTATATTTTGTTATAGTATACTAAATTTGATATAGTATAATAGCTATTAAGTATAACAAACAAGTATTTGAGGCCCGTTAGAGATATTTTCTTTATTTTCTGTAACCATCATTAGTAAACTTTTCTCAAGCCAATTTGAGAATTGGACCACAAGTGCATAAACTAGGCGTTTTGTTTTGGTAATTTCAAGTACTAAGTTTATACGTATGAAAGTACTTTTTTTATATTTACAAGTTTAAAAATTAGACTACTAATTTTACTCCTATGAAATAATTTAAAACAACACCCTTTTTGGTAATCCGTTTTTTAATTTTTAAATTTGACATTCCATAATTTTATAGATTTATTTATTTTCCAAATTATACCAGCATTACATGGAGCTTTGACAAGTATATGATTTTATTAGCATACTCGGAAAGTATACTAGTTGTGAGTCACAACTTATACTATAAGATATACTATATTTAGAAAATAATTTAGATACAAATTAATTGTATTGTAAACCACTAATACATAATAAAAAAATTACAACAAAAAATTGTTTATCTCAATTATTTTATTATAACATGTAAGATGCCATCGAAATAATAACGAGTCGTCGTTGTCATGTTAACGTTTGTACCAGAACATATAATTAAGACTATACTATCATCATAAATAGCTTTTATCTGTTAGGCTTTAAGTAGACTGTAACTTTTTTTTTGTTTTTTGTACTTATTTTTGTTCTGTATGCACCTTCATTAATTGTATACTTTATTATTTTAGAAAAAGATAACTAAAGGTGGAAAGACTAGTGATGTTAAAAGGAGGAATCACTTAAGAAATAAAGGTCATATAAAAACTAAAAAGCATAAGTCAAAAGTGTATAATGTTCCCCAACCTCCATTACAAAGACGAGATGATCCATCGGAAGAAGCTGAAGAAGAAGAAGCGGAAAACAGTGATATTGGAGATGACATGTTGGAAATGGTCGATAAGGATGATTTGGATTTCCTGAAGAAAAATATTGGCAATAAAAATTACAAACTCTATAATCGTATTGAGCTCAATGTAAGTGTCTACTCATGTTAGTTATTAAGCTAACTATTTTGATAATGGATTATACATTTTCAGGAAAGCGAGAAAAAAAGGTCCAGGGATGAAGTAGATGAAGATGAGTTAGAAACTAAGTATGAGAACTTGAATATGTTAATGAAAGAAGAAGATATAGCGCTCAAAAAACCTTTATTGCCAATTAAAACTAAAGATGGCATATTAAGGCGGTACACATTAAAACAAGAAGAAATGGGTTAGTATAACTACTGATCATTGCATTTTTATATTGAATACAATTTTAGAATTAATCAATTTGTAGAACCTAGTAAACCAGCACAACAAAAAAAACAAAAAGTTGAAAACGATGAAGATGGGTACACGTGGTTAGAAGAAAATGAACCAGAAAAGGAAATAGTCGTAAATAAAGGAGAACCGATTAGTGTTGCGAAATTGTATGCTAAACGTGAAAATACCCTTCAGAATTATAAGCAACGTATTGGACTATTAGCCAGTACGTTATTAGAAAACCCCGAATTAAAAGTAATTTTTTATAATTTATTATGATTGTAATAAAACATTAGTTGCACATTAGTATTTAATAATTATTATTATAATCTAGATAGGAAACATAGTTCATCTTTTAGAAATTATGGAAAAACGTGATCCAGAACTGCAGGTCACTATCAAAAAGTTGGTAACTCTCACTTTGTTGGAAGTTTTTAAAGATCTACTGCCCGGTTATCAATTAAAATTGGACCAGTTTGATGGAGTGAAATGTAAGTTCTGTAACGTAAAGCTTTAAAATCTTTCACAATTTATTTATCTATTGTGTGTTACTAGTAAAATTGGTGACCAAAGAGTTAATCGGATATGAAGGACAGTTGCTTAAAGGCTATAAAGTTTATCTCACTAATTTAGAAAAAATGGCAAGTAAGCTTCACAAAAAAAAAGGAGATACTCGAGTCATAACTAATGTAAGTATTATAATTATTAATTCACGTCAAACAGGAATTAAATTCGCTTTGCTACGTTTTGCTGTAATGTGTTCCGTGCTGTGGCTCCTTCCACATATGTTAAGGATGTAGTGTTACTTGAATATTATTAACTTGGTCACGGGCGCTCTGTTTTCCGGACGAGCAATCGTTCGGTAAAAAGGAACCGCCATCCCCCTCTCAGGCGACGGACTGACGACCCGTCCCGGATAGCAAATTGGTTGTCAAGAAACCATCTCATGATGGCCCGTTAGACTGACATGTTGATGATGATGATATTTATTATTTATTATTATAATATTTTTTCAGTTGTTATTGTATGTAGTCATTAAAAATTTAAACATGATTTCCATCAAAAAATGATATGTAGTTTTGAAGATTGTAGTACCATTTAAAACAAATGTATTTATGTTTTAGGTTCATATTAAACTAGCTGAAATTGCAGTTGATTGTTTATGCGAGTTACTAGTTTCACATTCATACTTCAATTTTGCAATTAATATTGGCCATCTATTAACTTTGTATTTAGACAATAAAAATGCCAATGTCAGGAAAAAAGTTGAAGAAACGTTTATCAAGATATTTAAAGAAGATAAAAAAGGAGCTATTTCATTAGTTGTAAGTCTATAATAATGATAAAATATAATTAGTTACATTTGGATACTAATAATGTAATATTATTGGAAATTAACAGATTGTACGTCGTATAAACCAACTTGTAAAAACACGTAGCCATTGTGTTCATAGTGAACTATTGTCCGTACTTTTAGCTTTACCAATTAGGAATGTTAATCTTGATCAAGAAAAAGAGGAAATATTGAAGTCGAAAAAATTTATGACGAGAAAACAAAAATTACTAGCAATGTCTAAAAAAGAAAGAAAGGTATTTTACTATTTATACCTAATTAATGTTATAAATATACATATATAATATTTTGAATATTAGCGTAGTAAATTGCTGGAAAAACTGGACAAAGAGATGCTCGAGACAAAAGCCGAGGAAAATGTGAAAAGTCATTTAAACAATTTGACTGAAATTACTAAACTTGTGTTTTTAATATATTTTAGAATTTTAAAAACAGCTCCGCGTTCTAAACTGCTTTCAGTCTGCCTTGAAGGTTTAGCTAAGTAAGTGTTAGTTTAAGTTTTAAATGAAAATTTACAAACTATGTGGTGTTGTCAAAACGGTTTTCAGCTTTGACATAAAAAAACCTGGTTTAACTTCTTCAGGGTTGGGTTACAAAGGCTGTACATCACCACTAGTAACCGCTTCATAGCATTGAAATCCTATTTTTAATTTACTTTTGTTTTTAGATTCAGTCATTCTATTAACTTGGAATTTTATCATGATATTCTCACAGTTCTCGACTCGGTCATTAAAAAACATCAACTCAACGTACACGAACAGCTTTGTTGTATTAAAACCATATTTGTTATATTATCCGGCCAAGGCTCAGTGATAAACATTGATCCTGTTCATTTTTATTCCCATTTGTACAAAGTTATACCTGAACTAGACTGTTGTAAGTTAATGTATTTGTTTTTATACATTTTGTAAAAAAATTGACAATTACATTTAAGTAGGTTTAGTTAAATAAGTTTTATATTGTATTAAATGTTTAGGTAAAAATCACACTTACTTGGATACATTTCTTCGTACTATTGAAGCTCTATTCTTGACGGGCCGCAAAAAAGTAACCGCAAATTCAACATTGTCATTTGTCAAAAGAATGGCTACTTTAACACTTCACACTCTTCATAATTCCGCGCTTGGGATATTATCTGCTATGAGAACCATCATACAAGTAATTTTAATTCGTTAATTAACACATTATATACTGTAAAATACAAATTTACGTTTAAACTGTAACACAATAATATCCAATAAAATATTATAACAATAGAATTAAAATTAAAAACAAGCTTATTACAATATATACTATGCATTTGTTAAATTTATATATTAAAACATCATAGTTAAAAAGAAAACCATGAATTAAATGTGTGTTGTGTACTATTAATAATAATATTAAAAATATTTAGACAAACAAAAACACTGAAGCTCTGTTGGATGTAGATCCTTCATACGGTCAAGGAATTTACGATGCGGAGTTGCTAGAACCTGAACATTGCAATGCTGGAAGTACAGCTCTTTGGGAACTGGCTACATTGCAGGTCCATAACTATTAACTTTGAATGACTTTCGATTATAATAAAAATATATGGGTAAAACGCCAAATACAAACAATTTTTGTTGCGATTTTTTTGGAAAATGAAACTGCATGTCTGTTACAATGAAATAATGTTCTCAAATATTTTTGGATTTTTTTTTTATTATTCAGCCATAGTCGTTAAATGTGTTTTTAGTTTTGATCTTGACACTTCTTTTGTTATATTATCTTCGAACATCAAAAAAAATTATTAAAGAACAGTTCCTTATGTAATAAAACCCCAGCTTTCTGAAAAAAATATTGATTTATTTTTTCGAGTAACAGAGAAAGTCATTAAAATTCAGTTAATAACCTAAAAAGTTGGTTTTTTCTTGTTGTCCAAAATTTGAGAATTTTTTTAATAATTTTTCAGAAAGCTGAGACAATTTTACATGAAATGTGTGAATTTCAAACTCAGTTCTCCATTAAAAAAAACGCTTAGAAAAACAAAAAAAAAAAAAAAGGTGAAATTTTGTTAAGTCGAAAAACAGAAAATTATCTTACTTATACACATAACTATTTTGATTACTGTGGTATTTTTTTAAACTTTTCTATAAAATTTCACCGCCGTTTTTGTGGATTACCCAATTTAAAATTGCACATTTAATGTAAAATTATCTCAGCTATCTAATAAAAATATTAGAAAAATCCTCAAATTTTGAAAAACCCAACTTTTTAAATACAAACTCAATTTCAATGACTCTGTTTCTAGAAAAAATATTACTAGAATAAATTAATATCTTTTTCGGAGAGCTGAGATTATTTTACGTAAGAAACTAATTTTTAACAATTTATTTTTTATGGCTGATATTTATGGTTGATGGAAGATACTACTGATAAAACTGCGTTTTGACCCATATATTGTTTGTATATAGAGATTAAGAATAACACACTAATGTTCTCTGAAAATAATTGCAGTTTTTCTTTTTGGAGACACTTTAGTTTATGTTGTATTACAATATTAGCCAATATTAAAATTTTTATCTTTTTCACTTTTTTACAGCGCTCTGGAAAAAATTTTAAAAGTGAAATATTTAGTTATTTTGTAACATTGTAAAATAACATAAACAAAAATGTTTTCAAGAAGAAATACTAAAAAATTGCAATTATTCTAAGAGTGCCTTAGAGATACATTGAGTGCGTAAACCTTAATGAATCATCCTATAATATAATTTATCACAATTTCAGAGGCATTATCATCCGGAAGTATGTAAACTGTCAAGGGTTGTAGCGTCGTTGACGGCTCCTCAAGCAAATCAAACCACTTTGAGACCAGAATTGGCAAAAATGTAAGTTATCATATCAATTAAAATTTTTGCTTAAATCCCAAAGAAAATGTTCTATAAACAATTTTAATTTTTAGGACACCCTCCGAGTGGTTCACAGAATATGATCCATCGATTGTGGCTTTTAAACCAGCAGTTATGCCGCCAGTAAAAGTTCCACAACGAATACCGGCTTATTATCCGACCTTATCATACTCGAATGTACTCGATAAAGATTTTCCGGTTGTAAATTATTCTAAGGATTTCTTTTAAATTTATGTTGTTGTTTTATTAATAAAATAAAATGTATTTAAAAAAAATAAATACGGCATTAAATTGTTTTAATTTTTTATTGCTATTTTGGTAACCCCTATATTGATTTTTTTATCTATCTAAAGCGCTGATAACAAAGTAAGTCTTGTATTATGTATAGTGCATACTAAATTACTACAATAATTATTAAAGAAATTTTGTCTTTATGTATTAAGAAATATATTATTATGTGACCATTTAAGTATTTTTAGATTAAAACAGTTGTAAAATGTGCCAAATCGTAACAATGTAATAAACTTTATCTGTGATATATTATCGTTAAACAATGCACAAAGCTGATGCTGATATTCCCCCCGGAGTACGAAAAAGGTTGTCACATCTATTTGGATTAATTGAAAAAGAATTTGAGACGGTATGTCAGGAAAACGTTGTTTTACAAGAAAAAGTGGAGTCTCTCACCGAGAAGGTCAACGACAAACTTTTGTCGACCGAACAGTTCCAACTAAATTCCAAACAGAAACCTCCTACGGGGCAGAAACTGAAAACTGCTGAAAAACTTAAAGCACAAACTAGCAAAATAGTATCGAGTTTTAAAAGCCCGTCAGCAGCCAATTGTCAATTTGTTAAAGAATATTGTGGACATAGAGATGGTTTATGGGACGTTAGCTTGCCGCGAACCGGCCAACCGGTGATTGGAACCTGTTCGGCGGGTAATGTTACAGGATAGGTATAGGTTTTCCTTACTTTTAATAAACTCGTTTTTGTCTTTTATTTTTAGACCATACTGCTAGAATATGGAGTATCGAGACAGGAATGCCGCTTTTGCAATATACTGGTCACTCTGGATCTATTAATTCAATTCGATTTCATCCATCCAAAGACTTGGCGCTCACGTCTAGTGGCGATCAAACGACTCAAATATGGCAAGCTGCGGTCAATCTTGACAATTTAGTAAATACATTTTTTTTTGTCAAATAATTAAGTTAAGTTTTGAGCCATACTTCCTCTACTGAACACAATTTTTTTTATTATTTTGTTTTTTTTAAATCCAATTCTATTGGACTACACTGAGTGAAGTATAATCACCAAATGTCAGCACAGTGGAGGGGAGGGGGGCACAGTTTGGATGAAGCATACTGGGGACAGGAGGTCACAGGTCGTCTAGTATTATTATCACTCATTTATAAAATCAATTTCAAATAAACGCTTTGATTTGACACTGTATAGGTAATAAAACTATTGATTATAAATATAAATCAATTTTTGGACAAGAAATGTATTATACATTATATTATTTAATTTTTTGGATTTTTTTCAAAAAAAGTGACTTAAGATTAAAAATAAAATTTGTGTTGTATGTTAACTTTAAATTTAAGAATAATCTATTAAACAATTTGATTGGCTGATTGAGAATTTCAAAAAACCAACAAAAATATTTTTTTTTTTTAATATACAAATATAATTTACACTATTTACATGACTAAATATAATACAATTCAAGTCTTAGCTTCTATAATTTTTTACAAATATAATGTTTTCAAAATAATAATATTAAATTAATCACCCTGTATGCATGACAAAAAAATTACAATATAAACATAAATCACAAAAATTAAGTATCAACAGGTGTCAATATTAATATTTTATTAGACTTAACTGTATGGTGGTTTTTCAGTTATTCCTTAATAAAAAAAAATAGATTTTGAAAAATTTCTTCCTAGACCTTTCTTTAGACCTAAGGTCTTAAAACTCCCTTTAAGAAATGCAGTAATGAAAAAAATGACCACCTACTCTGGGGGAAAGGGTAAATTATATTTTCTTGGTTTATCGCTGTAGTACCTACTAATTACTATATCCATAGAATATACCACACACAATTGGTAATTTGACCTTTTGGGTATGTTTACTCTCTATAGACTTGACATTTACATCTTTAATACCTTCTCAATAATATTTTTAAAATAAACAAAATGAATATTAATTATTTCTGATGGTGAAATTTGTAACCTTTTATAAATCAACCACAAACAGCAAATGGAATTGGCTTGCAGACTTAAAGATCTATCACGTTTTTCATTGTACTTTTCCGTCTCGCACACTGCATATTATATTACATGCGCAATTATAATCAGCATGTTTGATTAGCTTTAACATTTATCTAGCTGAGTTTATTCTACATTTTAGGGAGATAGAGAATCTGACGATACAGAAACAGAAGACGATCGCGTAGTTCCCGTGCTGCGTACACCATCTTGCACATTTTTAGGACATAATGGGCCTGTAATGGCGGGAGATTGGCTTCCTGGTGGTGATCAAATAATAACAGCATCGTGGGATAGAACTGCTAATCTGTATGACGTCGAAACTAGTGAAGTAATAAATACCCTTACCGGTAAGTGCAATCTGACTTCAGGCTGAAAACAAAGTAAATTGAAAATAAAAAAAATTGACTTTCTATAATACATAAAGGACACGACGAAGAATTGACTTATGCATCATCACATCATTCCCAAAAATTAGTTGTGACTGCGTCGAGGGATACTACGTTCAGATTGTGGGATTTCCGTGAATCTATACATTCTGTTTCTGTTTTTCAAGGTCATACAGAGTAAGTGTACTCTCTTGAGTTGTCTATTATTATTATTATTATTTTTAAAGTTTGACAATATTGTTTTATGACTGCGTATATATTGTGTAGCACGGTGACGTGTGCTGTATTCACATCGGCCGGTCTTGGAGGAGAGGATAAATTGGTATCTGGGTCAGACGATCGAAGTGTCAAAGTGTGGGAATTGCGTAATATGAGATCTCCGATAATTACCATAAGAGCTGACTCTGGCGTCAACCGTTTTGCAATCGCCTCCAGCGGAGTGATCGCAATACCGCACGATAATCGTCAAGTAATGTTGTATGATATGACTGGACAACGAATAACTAGAATACCTAGAACAGCCAGAAATGTAATTATAATTTAAACTAATTTTACAAAATACGTTATGCCTATCCTAATTAGTCCGCCAATCGTTGTTAATGGTTTTTTTTTCTCTTAGAGACACCGCCGAATAGTGACTGCTGTGGCTTGGAGCGAAGAGAATTCATTTGCAAATCTGTTTTCGTGTGGATTTGATAGGTTAGCGTTAGGATGGTCTGTTCAATTGAGTAAGGACTGTTAATTAATTTACCAATTTATAATTATTTTTTCTATTACTTCAATGTTACGTCCAAAAAACTCCTTCTTTTGAATCTAGACTCTCATTTAAGTTATTCTTCCTATTTCTGTATCCTATATTTTATGGTTTAGTGTGTTTGTTGTAAATTCATAACATGTGTTCTTGTTTCTTTCTATGAATCTCAAAATACGTCGTTAAGTCATATACATAGTGGGTTTGTTTTTAATAAAAAGAATGTAAATTATTAATTTATTAAAAAATAATTATATTTATACATGTATTAATTTCACAACTATTATAAATTATAAAAATATAATTTTCAAACAAAACACTTTATTTATTTGTATGTGCAACTTTTTTTTTGAGATATGCTTGTACTGATTGTGTTACGCATATTTTATTACTCCTTAATATAAAAAAATGATTTATTGTTAAGAACCAAATAATTTATGTCTTGTTACAACAAAATATCTGACTCTATTAGACATACAATTTGTTTAAATAATATGTTAACTTTTATACTTAAGTATAGTTTGTTGTAAGTATAAAATCTACACTATTTTGAACTTCTAATATTATAAGTTATACTTCGTAGTACTCAATTAAACTGCTATTTCCTAATGCAAGTTAATTTTTAAATATTATTTAATTATTTTATAAATGTAATTGATTTAAAAAAATTTAATTATGTAATAATGTATTTAAGCGTGTGGTTTATGTCATAAAATTGTTTAGCTAACATTCACTTTCAAATAGTATAAAATCAAAACTTTTTTACCCAACTTTGGCTATTTTTCCATGCGGAGTGTGCCAAAATCCTAATCTAAGAAAAAAATATATATATGTACAATTCCAACAAAAACCTAAATTATTTGAAAATTTAGCTTAAGTGGAAATTCATATTAGGCTGGTAACTTACTGCAAATAATTCAGTAAGCGACACAAAATATCCGTTTTAGTACAACTTGATACCTAAATGCAATCAAAATTATACAAAATTAGTTTTTATTTTTAGTAGTGTTGAAATTATAATAAACGCTCAACTACTGCAGTATAAATAGACTGGTCTTATTTTGCTTTGGACGTTTTGTTTAATGCTTTTAAGTAAAAATAATAATAGTACAGATGTGGATCCATTTTGATGATCTTTTGTTATTTGTTTACTATTTTTTTACTTTAAATGTGACTTGACTATGTGGTTAAAAGCATCTAAATGGCCCCAAATCTATACGAATATTATTTATTTACGTAACCATAAAATAGAACTATGTCCCGAAAGAAATAAAAAAAAATTACATAGTAAGAACCACTAATAAAAATATTAAAATACATATTTTATTTTTTGTTGAATATGATATATATTTATATAAACTTATTAGATAGTTAACAAATGCTTAGCTTGACAATTCAGTAATAGTCAAATAAATAATACTTTTTTTATAAGCACGAAATATGATATTTGCTTATTAATATACATTAAAAAAATATATTTATATATACATATAAATAACTGAATAAAATATATTTAGTTTTATAATAAATAATAATACAAAAAAAAAAACTAGAATAATAATCAATAAATTAATGATTTTTTAAGCTTTTGTTGATTTTAAAATACATATTCACAATTTATTTGATCCTTTTACGTAACCACTATAAATGTATAAAGTAATTCTGTGCATTAGGGCTTTTTTTTTTTTTTAAGAATAAACACTTAAAAACTATTGTTATTAAAATAACAATGGTGATGAAATAGTAATAATAATAATAACAGTAACACGTAGTACTGTACTAAAAAAAAATCGTTTACATAATTGTATACATTTTTAATTATGAGTGGTATTCGTACTTAAATTAGGTACTCGATTTAAAAAAAGTTTCAATTAATTGAAATTTTGTTAAAATAATAATATCCATTAGTGCACTTGAATTTACTAGTTGTTTTGCTTTTGTTGTGAAAAATATAAATCAAATATTTTCTTTATATTATCTTGAATATATTATAATAACGTTATACATAAATATAATATATATAATTTTAATATTAAGTAATAACTGTAAAAAAATAAATATTATAAAAACAACATTTTGGAGTAGGTCGCTAATTTAACCCATCAAGCATTGCAATAGCTATAATGCAGATGTTAAGCTTAAAATTAAAGATACATAAATAATACAAAATATATTTCTTCTATTCGACCAACACAATGAAAAACATAAAATATTTATGTGCTAATAATTTTTTTTTTTTTTTAACAATAGTATTTACCATTTTTTATTAATTTATCAACCAATAAATAAATAAATTATACTTGTAATTATTTGACGTCAGATATTTTACTTTATATTATATACTAAAATAAAATGAACGTTTAATAAATCATATTTTGTTCTCCGATAACTAATGCACCGTTTAAACCCTCATACAATTTTAAACAAATAAATACCTGCATTTTATACTTATTTTTATTCACTGAATAAAGTAATTATTTTATTTACTTTTATTACGATGCATTTTGCTGTTCATTTTAACAATAGAAAAAATAATATCAAATAAAATATTTTACAATATTAATTTGTAAAATCTAAATAAATATGTTTGACATGACATGTTTTTTATTATAACACCACTATATTTAGATGACAGATGAATACTTTTAATGCTCTAAGTATTCCATGAAAACAACTCAAGTGCCATTAACATTTATGTAGAAACCACTGTTTTGGATGTCAATAAATTGTACAGAAAATTATAACGAAAATTAAAAAACAGGTAACCAAATCTAACAATACTTATTAAAAAGTTAATTTACCAACAGAACAGATTTATTCTTTAAAAAAATACCATGTTGAAGAGATAAAATAAAATCTCAGAGCGAATTTTGACAACCTAACATACACTCGACAAACATGTTTAAGTTTTAGGTTTACAAGCATCTTCAAAATTTAGATTTGGGCGTTTGGGTGATTAAAGTATCTACTTTATTTTTATTTTGGTGTTAATAATAAAGTAACTGTCCGTGTTTAACAAAGTCATGGGCCGTAAAAGAAAAATCTAAAAGTAAAATTTTACAACTAAATATTAAAAGAATTTAAAAAAGTAAAAAAAACAATCACAATATACTGTCAAATACTGACAATACTATTGCAATCTTCAGCTAATAAAATGTAGTCTTAGAATGCCAAAATCTTAAAGATTACTGAAATTTTTTTTTTTTTTTAAATACCCAGAAGACTGCTATGTAATAATTAAAGTTATGACATCGCATCTTTTTTTTTTAATTTACTTATTATTTTTTTTTTTTATATAGAGCGATTAAAACAAACGACAACGACCTTTCTTCTTCTTTTTAACCTGCAAAGCAGCTCTAGTAGACGTTTCAAATACTTCACGAACACCTTCTTTGCTTTTAGCCGAACATTCTAAATATGCAAACGCATTGATCTTTTCAGCCATCGCCCGCCCTTCTTCTGGTCTTACTGGCTCTTGTTTCATTTTGTTCAACTCACGAATTGTATTTGGATCGTTACGCAAGTCTTTTTTGTTGCCCACCAATATTATAGGTACGTTGGGACAAAAATGTTTAACCTCTGGCGTCCATTTCTCAGGGATGTTTTCTAAAGAGTCTGGTGAATCTATTGAAAAACACATAAGAATAACGTCTGTGTCTGGATATGACAGCGGTCGTAGTCTGTCATAATCTTCTTGTCCTGCGGTATCCCACAACGCCAGTTCGACTTGTTTACCGTCCACTTCAATATCTGCCACATAATTTTCAAAAACAGTTGGCACATAAACTTCGGGGAATTGGTCTTTGGAAAACACAATCAACAGGCAAGTTTTACCGCAGGCACCATCGCCAACGATGACAAGTTTCTTACGGATTGCTGCCATGATCTACAAAACACGATAAATACTCTAAAAATATAAATTTTTAATATATTCAACAATAAATTTTAATTTAAACTTGGCAATATACATTAATGTTAGAGCGTTAGTAGTTCATTAAAATAATACCCATACAGTTGTTTTTAAACAATGACTTGGATATGGTCAATTCAGCATTGACCTTTATATTCGACTTACCGATGAAAGTTATGACACTAATGAACAAAAGAAAATACGTTTTTCCAATTGATACGTTTTAAGTTTTAACTAATAAGTAATAAGTTAGAACTTGTTAAAATAATTTAATGGAAAAAAAAAAAGCAAACAACATATTTTATCAGATATCAATGTTTACCTTTTTTTTTTTGTAGTGTAAGCAAACATAACCTCAAACTTCATGTCATTAAATTCGTTTGTTAATGTTTGAAATAATTATTATCGGCAACGGACAACGCTTAAATATAAATGTGTATACTGTATAACCATACTACCTATTTGACATTGCAGTTTTGGCTATGTTATGATATATTTAAAGAATTAAGATACACATAATAAATATATTATGTACAGATTATTTTGTATAATATTTAAAACGGCGTGAACTCTTAAGTACAAAAAGGCGCTTGAGATATTCTATTATTATTACTAATAGCCACTAGGTGTATAATTTTGTCTGTTTTTATTTTTAATCTTATCCACAGCTACAAAAACGAGATTATCAACATATTTCATATGAATAACTAATTTATTTTTATTTTTAAAATAAAGAATAATTTTGCGGTAGGATGGCAGTTGTTCTGTCCTTTCTTTCAACTTTTGGGAAAATACAATTTAAGTTCTTCAGCATGATGTACTATAATGTATTAATATCCACGTAAACAACAATAGTAGCTTAATAACGAATACTTATCGATAAATAAATAAAACACCCAGACATTATAATTAGGTACTCCGAAATCGTTAAGAAGTGACTTATCAACTTCTACCTCGCCAGATAGTGGTAATAAATTTCCCAATTGTGTTAATTGTAAGATAAAACATTATATATTAAAACGATATAATATTTACTACCAAACTATACTGTCTAATATTACTGAAATAGTGAACACCGCTGCTGTCATTTTATTATGTACTTTATAATTTATATTTACTTAATATACTTAAAAATAAACCACAAGATCCCAGTAAATCTGTTGACTGAGGTCGAGACCAGACAAGGAATAAGAACACTGAACATGACTTTTTCCCAAAACAGTCAAAACTCTATTCTCAATTTTCTGAAGAGAAATAACAATTGATGTGTAATAGTTATCAGCAGCTTTGGACATGTCCTCAACAGTTATTTGTCATAAAGAAGAATCTCAGTTCTCACAGTAAAACTAGATAATTAAATTCATTCACTGCCAAAACAAATTGATGGCATATTAAACATAATTGTTATAGTCGAGTAAAATCAATTAAATTGTAGTACCCTGATAATTAGTCAGAATATTTGGGGGAGGGAGAGAATCCTTTGAGAGTCAAAAGGAGAGGATTTACATGCAAAACTACTTGGTCAACATAAACAATCGATACATTATTCTTCAGTGAGGGCTTCAAGTTTTCTCGAGTTTAGTTTTAATCAAATTTTAACAAGTATAAACTAGCTAATTTATTTGAATGAGAATGCAGCCAATTTTTTTAATAACTGGTGGAGAATGTAGGCATACAAACTGGTACTGGTGGTTGGTCATACATAAAACTTGTATCTTAGATAAATGAATTATTATTCAATATTTAATTAAATTTATCAAATTGTCATTTCACACCAAGTTGCTTGCCAACACCATAAAATTTAATGTTACTTCAATTATTATCATAAACATTAATACAATTGAATTGGAAATTTTGGTATTATCTTTAGTGTTTATAGTTAGGTTGGGTAAGGTATGGTCATTAGGTGTTCTGTTATTAACAGTTGGCCCAATAGTTAATCAACGTTATTTCTTTCCCTCTATATAAATTGCAATAATACTTCTAAATACATATGTTTTAAAACAACTGACAAGTAAACATACTGCAAAATTAGAATATTTTTAAAGAAATGGTACTTAATTTATGTTGAAAATGTTCTTATCGCGATTGAATTGGTTTAACGTCAACTTCAGTAAATCAGCAAATCATCACTATCAAGTTATAAAGCAACACTTGTCAACCCCCGTATTCAAAAAATATACTTCCAGTACATACTTCTTAGGCAGAAATTGTATGTGATGCAGCTATTTTTAGTTAAAACAAACCAAGATAAAATGATATACATTTTTTTATACAATACAAAATAAAAATAAATGATTTTAATTAAAAATCTATACTTTATTAGTAATTTCTTAAAAAGTACAAGCATATAAATATTAGTTAATGAACAAACATAATAATAGTATTTAAAAAAAAACTAAGCTAAGGAATACATCATAGGAGCTCTGATAAAACAGGCCCATAAAAAACTATATAATATACGATACATGTAGTTTGTTGTGGGTATTAAAAACAAGTCTCATTTCTTAATATTTCTTTAAAATTGTTGATTCAACTTATTATTTTTATTTTTACAGAACAGTTATAATTTAATAAAAATAAAAGTTAAAATAAGTTACAAAATGCACTATGATTAGTGATTACCCAATAAAAATTCTCCCCAACATTTTCTCTTTGTACATATTTTGAAAAAAATAACAGGAATACATTATAATAATTAGTGTTTACTGTAGAAAAATAAAACAATATACTTGTCTCGCACCATGATTTGTACAATCAGGTCTATTTGTTTTAAATGCTGCAAAATCCTTAAAACGACATGGTAATTTGAAAAATTGTATAAAAATATGATTTATTTTATTTTCTAAGTAGATTTTTTTTATATTCTCAAAAAGTGACATAACTTACAGCACAATACATTTGCCTTTCTTCTTCTTCTTTACTTGCAATGCTGCTCTAGTAGACGTTTCAAATACTTCACGAACACCTTCTTTGCTTTTGGCTGAACATTCTAAATATGCAAACGCATTGATCTTTTCAGCCATCGCCCGCCCCTCTTCTGGTCTTACTGGCTCTTGTTTCATTTTGTTCAACTCACGAATTGTATTTGGATCGTTACGCAAGTCTTTTTTGTTGCCCACCAATATTATAGGTACGTTGGGACAAAAATGTTTAACCTCTGGCGTCCATTTCTCAGGGATGTTTTCTAAAGAGTCTGGTGAATCTATTGAAAAACACATAAGAATAACGTCTGTGTCTGGATATGACAGCGGTCGTAGTCTGTCATAATCTTCTTGTCCTGCGGTATCCCACAACGCCAGTTCGACTTGTTTACCGTCCACTTCAATATCTGCCACATAATTTTCAAAAACAGTTGGCACATAAACTTCGGGGAATTGGTCTTTGGAAAACACAATCAACAGGCAAGTTTTACCGCAGGCACCATCGCCGACGATGACAAGTTTCTTACGGATTGCTGCCATTACGTCGGAATGTTATGCTTATCAAAAAAAAAAAAACTAGGCGTTGGCTCTATTCCGATTTTTACAGCAAAATCAATCTCAAACGCACAAACTACAACGGTTATTTATTATACAAAAATATATAAAACTATTTTTTTAATAATTTCGATGGTTTGTCTTATTTAATTGTAAAACTAAAATTCTTTATAAAAAAAAATGTCTGAGTAATTTACCAAGTGTATGAGCTCATCGCGGTCGCCAATTATTGGACAATTTATCACATAGTCTCATAGACATTATACCAACAGACGGAACATCCGGGCTCGGCGCGGCGGGGTGGTGCGATTAAGAGGAATAACATTGCAGTGATGCCAATTGTCAGAAGAAAAACTAACGTTTTTCACCGCAATACAATTATAGTTACAATGATAATATTACTATTATATTTATTACATATGAGATTATATACAATTTTAACGAATGTTACCGATTTAGTTTCAATAATCACTAAATAACTATAAATATTTTTTGTTTTGAATATTTAGTGGGTTAGCCATGCAAAAGGTGTTAACTGTGTACTCACTTGCATTATTCACTCCGTAAAGCGTCTAATATCGTTAACACGGCAATAAAGAACAGGCAAATCAGCAAATTGTGATAATCGCGAAATGGCTGCCGGCGTTTTCGGGCGGCCGTGTGTACTGTATTTTATAACCGAAAATGTTCACTAATGTTTTTGTAAGAATCAATAACACTAATTTGACGGCTTACCTTAGTTCTTTTATTTTATAGTACGTTGATTTCCGGAGAAGTGAGAGCGTTCAGGTGAAACGCCATTGCATCCATAGCGAAAGTATTCTGCACAGTGCACATATGACGCGTGCATAGTGCATACACAACTTTAACTTTAGAGTTTGTACAATAATATCACAGATTATGTTATCTAATCTAATCTCACTCTTCACGGACTAGTACGTTGTACATTGATTGTCATTTGATATGATATATCCTATAAATTATATAGGTATTATCCGTACAATAATATTTTACTGTGTTTGTCACTGAATGTTTTTTTTGTTTATTATTTTGTTTGATAATATAACATTAAATTGTAATTTGAAATAAATCAAATGTATACATTATGAAGTGTTTTATTACAGCAGACGAGTGACCTAAAACCCCTATTCAAGATCCAACAAAATGGAAATCTAAATTTTTAACCTTTTGGTGTTAAAACTCACATGTTCCAAACTTATTCTTAAATAAAAAAAAGTTTATCTACTAAATTTGTATATTTTGATGGCATATTTTAGTTTTTCGGTCCAAACTACTTCAAAATAATGTATAGATTTTTTTGTTATTTAGGAAAATCCTCTCCCAGTTCTTTGCGTTTTCTGAAAAATGTGATTTTTGGACCTTGTGAGTTTTGATGCTAGTCTAATGCCCACTTTTTTGTTTACATTATTTTTTACCATTCTAAGTTTATTCTCTCTCTTTTCTAATCCTCTACTGGCAACTATGACTTAGCGAATTAAGTAGTTAAACTTCCCCCTTCCTTCTAAATTTCATCTACTCCACGACTACTTCATTGAAGGCAAAAGTCTAGTGTAATACCAAAAATAATAATATAATATTATCATAACTTGTATACTTACTTACCTTTATACTTTTGTACTTATAAACAATACCTTCTTTTCTCTCTAAATAATTAAAATATTGAAGTACTTAGTTCAATTATAATTTAAAATTATGCATATTAACTTTGAAATTAGGTATGTACTGTTGTACTAACCAAAAGGCAAAAGTAAAAACACAATAATTATTAGGTTATTTCAATGTAATTTGTATCAAATGACAAAAAATGTAAATATGTTTCTTAAGAACCAGGAATCTCCACTTTTTATAAAAAATTATTTTTTTATGGGAAGTTGTTCATGTGGAAAAATGATTTACATTTTCGTTCAGCATACAATAAAATCGGACAATTACCTATAAAGATATTACAATACCCATTTTTTCCCGCCAATGGTGGTAAATGGGATAATTTTGACTGTCCTAAACAATTACAAAATATGGAGATACCGGGTTCTTGCTCTGGACCCTATCAAATCGTCTCGTATTGTTATCTTCAGAAATAAAATTGTAGCGTAACGGGGGGAGTTTCCCGAGTGCGTCCCCTTAAAAGTTTTTACCTTTTTCATAGCCCAGATGCGTCCCCAGACCATAGTTATCAATCGACAAAGGTAATAATAATACAATGACTTTGGCAACTATTCCTAGGAGAAATCACATTTCACTTTAATCTTAGCCTTTGGTATTAACTGATCATTAGTTAACATAATTTGTATAAAATACAAGTGATTTTTAATTTTCAAAATGTCATTACCAGAGAAGATGACGAGCCAACACGGTAAGCAAATATTAATTATTATTGGATACAAATTGAAATTTCATAAAACATTAAAAATGTTGTACAAATAACAATGCGGACGGCCACGCAGACAATAAGAAAACCGAAATTTACAACTTGTAAAATAATTCATTTTATTGATGAAAACATCAAATAATTAAAGCTGGTCAAATTACCAGATTGGATTTTGTAAAAAGAATGGCATATACACATCAGCCACAACATGAGTATCAGGGAAGTAATTAAAATATAACAAACGCACATTATTGAAAATAAGTTAAAAACACTCACCCAAAAATTGGGTGTAAGCAAAAAAAACTATTTTAGGGTGCAAGCCAGTTCATCTCCTCGTGGTGCACCCTGGGTAACTCTAGATGGGGCACATTCGGATCATGTCAAAAAAATGACATTTTTTTTTTGGGACGCATTCGGGATATCCCCGTAACGGGATATCCATTTTACTATATATTTTACCTGTACTTAAGTTATATACTTTATTTTGATTAGCTGCCCGTTACGCTGACATATTTGTTTTTATGCTCAAATATTCGCAGAAGAAGGGGTATATGTATATGTGCATGTTTCAATCATAATAATATCTAAGTACTACATATTTTATTGTCTCTTATACCAGAAGTTAAATATTAAATTATTTGTACACTAGAATTCATGAAATTATGTCATATTTCTATTTACGACATTATAGATTGTTTAGTGGTTCCTTATAATTGAATACAATACAGTTTAATTTCAACATAATGCTATAGCTAACGCCTAACATAGGCGCAACTAAACCTAAATTTTAGGAGGTGCTAAAATGATGTATACTTTACTAAACATAATTCTTATCTTTTATAGATCAGATATCTTTCATTAGATATATAATAAAATATTTTAAAACAAAAATGTTCTATTATAAAAAATTTGAACAGAGTATTTACATTATTAAAATTGTATGCGTAAAATTCAGGGATTGGATTTGAATTTTTGGGGGTACTAAATAAAGCCTTCCTAGCACCCCCCCCCCTCCCCTATTTGCTCCTATGATAATTGATAGCTAACTCATACATTTAACTAAAACTAAAAGTACAATAAGTATTTTCTACATTCGAAATTAGCCCAAGTTAATTCTCATAAATGGAGTCTGTTCAGTAGACAGAAATGATTAGATCACAATTTATTAAAAAATGAACAAAAGAATAAACGAATAATAATAATCTGACTAAAAAAAAACGAATTTTATTTTAAAACATTTTTTATAAAATTAGAATAATTAGGTACTAACTGGTACTTAAAAATAACTTGTACGTGTATAAAATATAAAAATTATAATATTACCATTAAAAATAATACATTATTTTCTATCGAACGAGGTATAAAAATTAAAATTACAATTGAATAAGACTTAAAAATGATATTCGTGTTCTCAAGTTTTTAATAAACCTTGAAAAACAAGTGGTGGTATTTTTGTAGAGCGATTGCATGGTCTCAGCAAAAATTCTTCTCCAGTCTTAGTAATCGGCTTCTTCTTATGATAACTGACCAGTTCACCTGATAATCCATACAATATTTTAATACAATAGTTCGTTTGTTTTAGTGCCTATTTTTGATATTTATGGGAATTATCAAAACAGGTGAGTAAAATGCATTTGAGTTAACGTACTTAGTGTATTGTGAGGTATTTGATTAGCACCTAAGAATTGATAATGGCCATTGGACGCGTCCACTAAATAATGTTTGCAACAGTCGTAGTCTCTATATGTTATCGCGTAGCCCCAGATCTTTTCGGATAACCGCACTAGAAAACTTCCGACTGGTTCTTTGTTTAATAAAATTTCGGCTTCTTGTCTTGTAATAAGACCTATAACAAAAAAATCACAAAACATTTTTTTTTATAAAGTCGTCGGACGTTCAATTTTTATTTTCAATGCATCATTAATTCATGTTACTATAGCTAAGTGGAAAAATACTAAGTGAGGATTTTTTTTACTTTTATTGTCCATAATAATGTTTATGATAACAACAATCAATAACTGGCACCCAATATACTTGCTAGCTAAACAAAAATTAATATTATATAGAATGAACCAGAAACAAATGTAGCACTCTACGAATGGTAGCACATAAGTGGCCCTAAGAATACATTTTTTTTTATATACAAAGCTTGGGGTTTTCCTGTTTTATTTGTGAAATATCCATAAAAAATTAAAATAAACCATACCGTGAAATTTTTTGAAAAATGCTTAAATAAAAAAAGGGGTTACTTGATTTTTTTGTTTTCTTTTTTGTGAGAAATTTCCCATAATGAGTTTTTACTATAATATAAATTCATCATTCATGTATCATACCGAAATTACGATTTTGAGCTTATGACTTATCATATGGTTTATTTTTGGTGTATATAATGGATAGTTCTCAAATCAACGCTTAAAATCCAAGTTTATGACATGAAAATATTCCAAAAATGTATTCTTGCTCCCCCCCCCTCATAAGTAGTACTATCCCCGAGAGAGCAATGTTTTTAGAAAGGAAATGTTTACTAGTGGTAACTAGCATATACTTAAAATAATGTCATATAAAACTTCTTAGATGTTAGAAGCTAAAGATGATAAATGTTAAAAAATTAGGTTTTTGATAAATTCGACTGGGGACTAAATACTTATACCAACTAATGATATAATAAATAATCTCTTTGAATTTTGAACTATCGGAGTTTGTTCACCTTGGAAAATAACTTATTTCAGTTTCCCCACGTTATTGTTCCCCGAATCTAAAATACCAGATACAATTAACTGTTAACACTGCCTACAGGCTATAACATTACAAGCATAGATAAACTTAGTTGAGGCAAAAGAGCCGATCAGACCGAGTATTTAATTTGTATTTATTTACATAGTAGTGTGCTTAGCGTTGTCCCAAAATTGAAGAACATTGACATTTGCATCGTGCACAACGTCCTTAGACACATTGGTCATTGACACTATGTCCGTATTTTACAATTTAAAAATAAAATCTAAAGCGTTTACTGTTTTGTATCATTCGGAATTACATGTGTACCTAGTTAATTATACAAAATCGAACCGTTTCTCAATGTTCCTTTTTGTTATAATCGTTCTAAATTCTGTTATCAAACGAATGATGAATTGGTAGTACCAAGGAAAAATAATTACCGTGGAACCATGTGGCTATGGCGTTTCTATCTTGCTCGAAACCGGCTCTTCTGGGTATTTCTTTCGCTCTGAACCATTCAATGACGGCCTTTTTACTGGGCGGCTTAGAAGAGTTGGGTATTAACACGCCGCTATAATGAGGTTATAAATTGTTTTTTACTATATTATATCACACGGTTTCGGCGTGAAATTCGCACAACACTTATGACACTCACCAAAACGGTTTTTCAGTACACAGCAACGACCTTCTGTGTTCTTCTCTGGCTTGACGTGCGATCTGCCGTCTCTGAAACTCGGCTTCTTTTGCTCTTTGCTCTGAGAAACATACCACCGTGAACTTTTAATTAGCGAAAATGATAATGATAACGTAAAAAAGTGTTAAATGAGAGAAAATTAGAAATAGTTAAATGGATTGTGTAAACATGGGTGTGCGAAATAACACACCTGGTTTGAATAGGCATAATATATGTTATATTAGAATAATATTATAGTTATAAGTAAAAGGGGGTAGTTTTTGAGTTGTACTAATAGCGAGAAAAGAAAAACTTTAAGACACCGAGGAAGAAGCAGGCGCGTATTTGAAATCATCATCATCTAAAGGGGAGGGCCATACATTAACGCATAACCGGGTACTACGGATAGTCATATATTTATTAGAGTTACCTATTGAAAACAGAATGAAGAATACAAATAACGACTGGGGGATAACCAGTTTTGGATAAATACTTCTTGAGTTCTTAGCAAAAGATATAGGTACTGGGGGTGCTGAGGTAGACTCAATAATTATTTATATTCACTCGCACTTAATTCGTCACTTTTAAGGTCAATACTTTTATAATTTTTCAAAATATACTTAAAGAATTTTGTTTAACATTTGGGGAGAGGGCGACGGTTTTAAATGCGTTCCTGCCGATTATAGGTAATAGTGGTGGGACTATTCGAATAAAAAAAATTCGAATATTCGAATACTTTATTCGCACGGATATTCGAATATTCGAAAAATCAGATCGAATATTCGAATATTTTATCACTTTCTTTGGAGAATTAATTAGATTAAAAAAATAATAATTAAGAGACAACTAAGGTGTTCTTGATCTATTTTTAATAATCTATTTTTACTATTAGAATTATTCGAACTATTCGAATATTTCGGATAATAGAAAAATTCGATTCGAGGTCTCAGTTCTAATAGGTAACAAATAAGAAAAAATATGTTATTAATAAATTCAATATACATTACAAGGTGTGGTAGAAGTATAACGACAGCCAAAGAGAATTAGGCATGGCAGAAGATTGGTTTTGGGTAGGTTAGGTTTGGTTGTGGGAGAACATTAAGTATGGTAGTTGATAGTTCGACTTCGGCTAACATTACAAAGTTCCAAAATAGCTTAAATTGTATGACTGATTTAATAACTGTGAAGTATGTCGATGCCAACTTCTATGCCATAATGGAATAATTATTTCAATGCAAGTTTTGCGGACTTACCTCGTTCTCTCCAAACGATTTCTTGCTTCTTGTCGGCTTCTTCGGCTCTTCTTGCTTCTTCCTCTTTTTTGTTCTTCATCCTCTTATAGATTTCCGAGGTCCGTTCCTCCATAAGTCTCTGTTCCCAATTTCTCACACGCTCGGATACCTGTACAACAGTTCAACGAACTTTTTATGTTTAGAGCTCATCGAACGATTTGTTCCACTCGCACGTACAATAAATAGCAGTACAAAAAACTATATAAGTATATATAGACACAACGAGAATATGGCCAGAAGGCTCTCACTACCTATCTATACACCGTCGCGTTATTATATCATGTAGTTCTAACAATCATTCATATATATTCAGACTAGTGTTTTATTATTATTACATGAAATTCATAAATGAAATACTTTGTTGAATGACAGTTCTTTCAATGCTCCACGAATCGGCTGTGTCGTTACGCACGGGTCTCTCGTCGTTCGGGTCTTTAAGTCTTCTACCGAACAGTAAATGTCCTCGCTCTCGTGTGAGTGCATCTTTTCCTGAGCGCTATACTGGACCTTTGTTTTGTTCTCCAACATTGCAAGCAGCTCCGACTCCACCTTCAATCTAGAAAAATAAAATTGTAAAAGCCCGTTAAGTAATCAACAAAAATGTTGTTCCTGTAAACTGTTACATAAATTCACTTGTTTACGTAAGTCATGAACAGACAACAACAAACCTTAATTGTTCAGTCTCATGTTCTGCTTGCACTCTAGCGGCTTCTCTGGCTTCCTCTTCAATTATCTGCTCGATGGTTTTGTCGTCTTTATGCTCTCCCATGACCCACGTCCAAGGTTCACCGCTCTCGTCCAACATCCACTGCACTTTTTTCTTGCCTGCTTGCAAATAATAAAATATATATGTAAACATAAACTCTGTAAGCTAAAGAGTTTCTGCATTACTCGGTTGTCTTTTGGAGTTGGTCGTTTTATTGCCGTCCCGTAAGTCCCACTCACTCCAACGCCGGACTTGTTCTTCTCGCATCCTGCAGAACAAAGTCTGCCTCTGAGCTTCGTCCAGCTCGGCCAAAAGCTCTGGGTCCACGTACATATCTTTGAGAATCTGCTGAAGCATGACGAATCTAAAAAAAAATTTTTAAAAAACGTTTAATTAATAAATAGCAGTTTTTACCAGTTAAACTATGAATAATTGATTTTCGGTTTATACGCGCTTGCGTCGCATTTTCTTTTTACGCTCACCGTTTCGCTGACTCGAGGTGAAAGTAAAAATATATAACGCTAGATTAATTACGTTTAAGTATTTTTCTTTTTGTACTACAACTGGTACGATCAACTGATTTTTTTTTAACCGTCCACAATATAGTTAAGGCTATTTGATTACTAATTTTGGAGGGCAGAATTTGATGACTCGAATTATTATATAATAGAGTATAAATAATAATTATAACAGCCGTAATTAGTGTTTTCATCGTTGAGTTTGACAGTGGAATCTTTGTAATTATGTCAAATTAATTATTGAAAATTGGGTTTCCTAAACGCGTCGGGACTCGCCAACTGCTTTAAGTTTGCTAAAACCTAGTCCACACTAAGGTAACATAGACCAACATTGTTTATCCATGTTTCGATAAAAAGCGAAACATGTGGCAACTAATGAATGTTACTTTAGTGTGGACCCGGCTTTATACACTAAACACATTATTACGGTTTTTTCAATTTTAATCTTATCGTGTACAGTTATTTAACACATTTGCTGTCACTAAAATGTAGTGTTTACAGTAAGTAATATTAAAAGAAATAAGAACAAGTATGTTGATATTAAATATTAAATGGTAAAAACTGGGAAAGGTGACTTTTTTAGTTACAGAAAATTAAAAAAAAGAACTTTATTGACTAGAAATCTTTATTGACTTGCTAGTGGACAGTGAAATATTGTATTGTGTTATACTTATGTTTTTTAATATTGTGGGTTTTGAAGTAATATTATGATTTTTTTACACTGTAGCGCGAGTTTACATTGTACATGCTGTAACGAGTGTAACGCAAAAAACTACCATCTCATGATTCGTCGTTCTGCTCAGATGAGAATAACATAAATTTAACGGGTAATATGTCTATTCTAAATTAACATTAAAACATTATTTACGCAATTTTATACACATCACGTAGAGAAAGCAAATTCCAAGATAAACAAGTAAATCCACAACATAAGTAACACAATAGTACTCAAGTGTAAAAATTATAAACGATTATGCATTTCTGAAAAAAAATATACACGCTAATTACAAATCGAATTGTGTAAAAATTACTCGACTAATGAATAAAGAATAAATTAGTTATTTTTGATAAATCTTTATTTTAATTTTTAATTATCTTTATTCAACATTTAATTAACAATATTTCAAAATATACGTACTACTCTGACCCTTCCAATTTTTTTAGGTTGGCCACCTTAGTTCTTATACAGACGCTCCCCAATCTCTACACATACATTAGTCATTCAAATGACACATTCAATCACCTCTATCTACTTTTAGATAGTCTTATAAACAATGGTATGGGGATGAAATTCCTTCAACTCCTTTGAATTTCTGTTATGTGTTGTATTGTAAAAATATTATTACAAATTTAAAAAGGCTTACATCAAAAGATCTATAAAACTTGATATTATGTAATGTTTCAAGTCTATCGTATATTTTATGTTGTAAACCATACCTTCAGAAATGTCAAATGTACATATCATATTATCATATTTGGTTTAGTCATACTAATAATATTTATCAAAATTGTATTTTTCTAAAAGCATGTTTTGTAGTTAAAATACAATTTAATCTCAAAAAGGATAGTATTTTATGTTCTTTAAGTTATTTTAAATATTACAAAATATTTACTAATGAATAATAATTAATAATACTATTTAAATTATTCAAGACAAATTATCTTATTTTTTTCCATTGCTAAATTCCTTTAGCCGTATCTACACTAAGGCAACATTCGATTGTTTCTACATGCTTTGCTTTGCAGCGAAACATGGAAACATCAAACACAAAACAAATGGAAGCAACATATTGCAACACAATAAGTTGTTAAGAGTTGGCTTTAGTGCGGACCAGGCTTAAGAACCGTGATACCTTTTTATTTTATTCCATATCTTTTCCGTTATTTCCTTTACTATATTGATGTTCTCTTTTTATTTAACATGGTCATACAACATTAACAATTTGCTAATTGCCTTAATATTGGAGTTATTCATAAGCAATTTCAATGCGTATGGTGTAGTGATATATGGTGCCAAACTTACTAAGCTTATTTGGACTATTGCGAACATCTAAAAAAAAATGAGGCAAATCGGTCCAGCCGTTCTCAAGTGATGCGATCACCAACAAGCAGCATTTTATTTTTATACATATGTAGATTAATTAAAAAAAACGAATTATTATTTAAATAATATTTTCGTAACGCCTATCTCAGTGTTTTTAGAAAATAGGAAAATATGTTTATATAATTCGTATATTTTATGTATTTACCTATTATGCATAAACAAACAGCATCTATATTGTAGACCACATGCTACAATACAAATGAAGTAGGGATAATATAGCCACACCGTTGGGATCATTTAAACACCAGGGCCACTTAATTCCAAATAAAAAATAGAGACTAGAAAGTGTGTCAGGGCCAATAATAAGGATCTGATATATTATAGATGTTTACGTCATTATCGATTTTGTCGCTATAGTCTTATTGTTACACTTTGAAGTGAATTGAAAAATGCATTATAATATAATCGTTTTAACTATAATATTTTGCATTAAAAAGCAAAATCGCAAAAAGCAACATGATACAATTACAAGTGGATTTATTTGTGCACCTCTAAAAGTAATAGTATTAGTAATAGTTAAATTCAATACATTATCTGTTGACTAGAATTTATAAAATACAAAATGTCAATGATTGAAAGTTCGGCGAGTTATTTATGTTCTATACTTATCAAACAAATATTGTTTAAGGTAAACGCTAGTGTGTCTTCAAAATTATACTACGTAGGTACCTATATTAATACAATGCAATTTCTTTTATTACTGTGTATACTATGTATATATTATAATAACCAATAACACAATATTTATTTTAAATTAATTATATATTCTAACGATTTGTCATTAAACAAAATTAATTCAGTAAATGTTAGATCAATTTCAAACTAGCTAAAGAATTCATATATTATCGAAACAAGTACCTGTACATTAAACGGTACTTATTATGTAATATCTATTTAATATATTATTATATTGGATTCTTTGGAAATAGTTTCTCTGATATAAGAATTGTTGGCCGTAATGACTGTCAACAATTCGTATTATGTTGACGGCGCACACGTATTTTACGCGATACGCGGTATTGTTAATATTTTCTCCATTTTTTTTTTTAACTATAATTATAATAATATCATGCTTGGTGTCAATTATTATTACGTGTCCGTTTTTAATAAATCTTATAGACAACTAAATGGAATGGGTATGATTGTATGAAAACCCAATCATGAGACTCGTGTGCTAGGTAGACAGAGCTAGTTTGGTGTTTGGACATGTGCTTAAATCGTATAATTTGCATATTTTTCTCTCGGACATCATAATACGAGTTTCAAATTTCTGTCTGTCATTCACTCAGAGAACCAGGAAGAGTGATCATAGAATACTCAATTTTAACAAGTAATAACTGTTCATGATGCAGAGCTAATCGGATATTTTAGAGATCGAAGTTTTCATAAACTTCAGGGTTTTTATTAGGTAGGGGATTATAGAAAATGCCAACATCTGCCATTCGGAACCACTTCTATTTACTTGTCTGCTACCATACTGCGTATTCTGTTTAGAATTTAGATAATATAAGAACGGTGAAATGATAATTTAATCATCCTTTATGTAAAAGTGAGCCGTGGCGGTTCTAGCGTACGGGCTGGGTGGGCAGGTGCCCGTACCAAAATGTTGTATGGATTATAAAAATAAAGTTTATATTACCTATAATTTGTAATAACATTATATGTTTAACTACATTTTGTATAAAAAATAAAGAAATTGCCCGTACGAAATTTGAGTCCTAGAACCGCCCCTGAAAGTGAGTGGCTAATATATGTTTAACAGTTAACTGTTTGAAGGGCATGATATATCACTAACAAAAACTTTTTAATTTTAATGGGCAAGGTATACAGAAAAGATAAAATCCTATGACGAGCTCGAAATCAAAATAATAAGCAACCGTGCGCTCTAGTGGTGTGTCTAGTTGATGCCTATTTTATTTGGTCATCACTACTAACTACCGCCCAAAATATATAAGCGGTAATTTACACTAACCACCCTTCAAGAGCCATAACGAAATTGGTAAATATACTAACCAACGTCCCTCAAACAGTTAAGGTTTATCGTATAAACATATTACTTATAAGTAAAAATTGTATGTGTAAGTATTTAATGATCATATACAACACCTGTGGAATTTGTGTATGTCACGTTTTCTAAACAATGTTATAATTCAAAATTCTATTCGGACCCAATGTCTGGTGTCAAACCATTATTTCTCTCTGCAGCGTAGGTTACACTTGTTAGCTATTCCGTTTACTTTTTTTTAGTAATTTCGAATCAAGGTTTCCCAAATTCTTCTTGCGTAGTGACTAGTGAGCACAAAAAAAACTAGTTGCGTTATTATTCTATAATAAGTAGGTAACTGAGCTACGTCTACTATAGATAACAAAGTCTATACTAATTGTTGCCCATACGGTCAGTAGTTTTTACGATGTTAGTCACACTATACACACACACAACATAGTTTCTTGCATTAGTTAGGTACAGCTGCTGGCTGCATCATAATAATACTACTACTAATAATAATAAAAATGTATGCGTCTAGTTAGTATAAAAAATAAAAATGACATAACAACGTGCTAGACAGTAGAATTATTTTTTTTATTCAGCGTTGGCTAGGTGGCTTACATGGAAATTCAAAACACTAATCAGCACACGCGTCAGCTACCGGTATTCGCGGTAACTCTTGGCTGTTGAAAAAATGTTATTGTGCTCAGCCGCGTTCATCGTTATCTACACTATGTAATCGCAACACGTTCGCC